AGTTTTCTATCTGGTCTAAGATACTCTCCAATTTCTTCCTTATACTGTCAACCATGCTTATCTCATTTTTTTATTGTGGAATAGGAGAATAAGCGTAAGTAATGTGGCGCACTTTCCGGTGTCATACTTCATTAATTCTTATTTTTAATGTGCAGTTGGCAAGTAATTTCATCATTTTCATTAGTTGGCAAAATAATCTTATATAGCGTCATCACTGCGCGTTAATTTCATTATTTGGAAATCAGTTTTTCCCTTTTTCAAATTCTACCTTTTCGCTTCAATATTTGTATTAACAATTTGCATTTTCCACGTTATCTGTCAAGTTCCCATATCATCGTATAACCTGTCGGTAAGGTTGTTCTCACCCAATATTTTTTCTTTAATAGTTTTTTTCTTCAATGTTCATTGTACCCTTTGAATTTCCTGTTGATATCAACTATTGATACTCATTCGTTTTTCTAATTTATTTTAAATTTCCAGAAAAACTTCATAAATCTTTTATTAATTTTTGTGATTTTTATCTTTCATAAAAAGATAACTATATTTCTATTTCTGGATTGCTAGTAAAAATCGGTATGCGGATAAATAGTGTACCAATTTCGTTTTATAGTAATACACCCCGTTCAATATTTACGATTTTTCCCCATTGATTTTTGGATGGTCAGCATTTTATTCCGAAGATTCCAAATTTTCTGGAATTTTCAGGTTGTTTGGTGCGTTAAATTCGTTAAGCTTAAATCACGGGACACGAAAGTTAGGCGCTAAGTTATATTTTTTCCGAAGGGCTCTTTCAGCTTTAGTTAATCTGAAATGTCAGGTGTCGCCAAATGCGACGTGATTCGTAAGCCTCATGCGATCCATATAGGGATTCGGGTCTACATAAATATTAAATTATAGACGGTTTTTGGAACTGCCTTGCGATCCTTTCAGCAGTCAGAATTTGAATCTTTGTTGAAAGTGAATGCCATAAGTGGAGCGTTTGCTTTGTTTTTCTCGTATTTTATGATCAAGTTTACAATTCGCTAGAGTTTTCATGATACACATTTTTCGACTTCCATTTTATATTGCGCCAACTGCTAGCTTTCGCATCTCTTTTAAGACATTATATAGTTACATTTTTTCTTAATAGATCACAGACTTAATATTTCCATTCGACTCTTTTTTCATGGAGGATGTTTATTTCATCTGCGGATATCGGTTATCGAGAATACTAGGTCTTCACAACCATTATTTGTCGACTTCACAAAGAGTATAATGTATTTGTTAAATTCACCGTTTTTACAGTTTTCAGTCTTCGTTTGATATTAAGTTGCTCATGGCTTAAGAAGATTATAAAATACCAAAGTGTGCATCAACCTGAAATTCTGACGATAGATAAGGATATAGTGAAATATTTAATATTTGATGAAGATATAATGAAACATTTTGATTTGATGTTAGATAAGGATATAATGAAATAGTTTTTGGGAGGCTCATGCATAAAAATATGAATGTGGAATGATGTCCGAATGAAAATCCAGAGTGTTATATGTTTGACAATTTTTTAAAACAGAATTGTATGTGTCATGTGAGTTGCTGTTTCATGAACTCAGCTGATACATTTTCACATCTTTTTTTGAAAGAGGTAGAAAGATTTTTGTAACAAAGAATGGCGAGCTTGTGATATGCAGCAATTCACTTACTAAAATAAAGTTACTAATTTGTAAATTAGTCGATAGGATATAATAGTATGAGCTCATAAAGAATTAGAAACTTGTAGAAATACGGAAGCAAAAAATTTGAAATCAAACTTACGGAAATATGTTGTAGTCACTGAGTGGCGTTGGTGGCGTTTTGATCGACGTATTAAGCCAGAACAAACAAAACAGTAGCTCATCAAGTGGGCAAAATTTTGCTGCCTCCGTAATTAAGGAAAAGATTATCGACAACAATCATATTGATCTCGAGGTGGGCAAGTAGTCTTTTTTTCTTTGGAATTTAATATAAAATTTTCCGGTTGATTGTACAGGGATAGAGAGAAATGGGAAAGGCTGTTGAAATTGTTGAACAGTAAAGTGTAAATATTTGGAGGTTTTTTAAGTCATTGTCATTTGGTGAACGCAAAAATTTTTTGGAACACTTATAACAATCATCTTTCTGTTTTAACGACGCGGAAGCCGACACTTTGTGTTTATTACAGTTTGGGTTGGTCATATGGGTTTGGGTTTCTCTTTCTTTCATGTTAGTCGTTTTATAGATTCCGGATACTATTGTTGGAGCAATCCTCGGTCCAAGAGCTAAAACATTGGCCGAAATTCAGCATTTAAGCGGTTGTAAAGTTGAAGTACACAAACGTGGTACGGCTGCAGGACAAGGAAATCGTCTTGTAAGGTACGCTTTGATTAACAGCAATATTTGTAAAAGAATTTGGCAAAATCTGATTCTCCTCATTTTTGCGTCTATGGTAGGAGTAGGAGATTTTTTTCATGCAAATATGAAACAGTTACGCATGTCGTCAGCACTAGTCTGGGTATGAGATGATTTGAATAAGCAGAAGCAAATGCTGTTGATGATAACTACATTACATAATGACGGTATTGGAAAATGTGCTACACATCGCGGAGGATTTTGCCACAGAAGCAGTTTATTTAATTCACACAACGTAAAGGCTGAGTTGCGTGCAATTAAGAAAAAAGATAATATAGTTTCAGTTGCGCATCTAGATATTTATGCAACGAGAGTGACTTGAGAAACAAAATTTGGCTTTTAATGTGCCTCGAATTTTTTGGATTTCTAGGCTTTCAAAATCATGTCTATTACTTTAAATGGTCAGCGCAAAGAATCTTAATAATGCACATATCGTAATAGTTTGACGGATTTACCTACTCTTAACAACAGATAAGCGAATGCTGTGAAATTTGACAAAAGAGAAAGGGGATCTATTGTTTGGCGTAGTAAATGAGAAGGGTTTTTCCGTGTCAGTAGCAAGTGACATTCGATCATCTCAAAGTGAAATCAATAACCACGTGGAGGTGATGAAAAAGGAATTTTTTTTTTTTAGAAGGAAAGGAAAATTCCACAAGTATTTTATGTCTGCATCCTTATCCTGATATTGTCAATAGCACGTTTGTTACAGCTTAACCGGAGATGTGGACTGCATACGTAACGGACGTATGATGATTGATAAAGTTATCAACGATGAACAATTACGTCGTAATCAGCAGGCGCAAAATAATGCACGTGGCGGATTTCGTTGATATTTCTGGATCAATTATCCCCCCAAATGATAATCATTCTCCTTTTACTACTTTAAGTTCTATTTTTTTCAATTTACTTGTCGTTTGAAATAATTGGTCAAGTGCAGAGTAACCGTCCTAGACGTATATTTGTTTCAATGTTATTTTAAATTCGTTTTTTGAGAGTCTTCGAAACTTTAATTATTTTGTTTAGGCTTCTTAAACTTCCACTTTTTTCTTTCACTTACACTAAATGTTCTTCGAAATAACAGTTTCTTTATGCTAATCAAATTTTCTGATTTTCTGAAACTATAGTTCAGAAGTCGACTTGTTCCCTTATATTCTTTATAAGCAAAACTCTAACCTCACAATTAATAGGAATATTGGTATTTTGTTGTGTAACCTTTGGCCTCTATTACCGACATGGAAGCATGTGAGTTGTTACGTCAGGACACGATTGACTGAATTAACAGGCCAGTATGATGAATTCGGTGACATTTTACTTTTTTACTTCTATAAAATAAATTAACCTTAATCTAGGTCGCTCTAACTAAGATTTATTCAAGTCGAATTGGTACTTTATTTTGCCCACAGACTTATTTTGCGACAATTGCATTATTGCATTTGCTCATCTTAAGGAAAATTTTAGTTGCTGCAGTCTTTTACATTAAATATTTTTCTTCAGAACTCGATTAATTATTATTCTTTCCGCTATATTAAAGTTTTACTGGATTCTGTGGATAAGTGGTGTCTGTATGGAGGACCAAAGGTCAGAAAATGTCATTGGTGAAACTCCTGAAGACTTGTATTCTTTCCATATACTTCTAATAATCCCCATTCATTGTTGTCATTTTTGTTTCGGCTTGTTACTATTATTCGAAATTATTTTGAATTTTCACTGAATCCCTTTTGAAACTAATCTTATTTGATTTCCTTCAATAAGATTTTTACTTTTCTGTTCTTTTATACATTAATTTTACCCACAAAAGCACTACACAGTAATTATCAATGGCTTCGATACAGTATTTATTGGCATTTTCATTTTGATTTACTCCTACATTCACTTTATATGACATGAATGTCGAGCCAAATCTTTCCTGATACCCTAAGAAGGGTATTAAACGGTAAGAGAGATCATTCATTTTGCATAAAGAAAGCAACACTTTAAATAATCCATAGATTACCTTTTTTCTATTTGATGGAAAAATAATGCTCTTATTCTCCAAAAGAATGTGGTCAGTATTCAAAAATGCTGTGCTCTAGGTAAAATAGAGTCTGTCTAAGGGAATCTAGATCTTACAGTGGTAGTGAAGTGATGTTGGAGTGACAATCGTAAATAAAGATGGCAGCAAAGTTTCCTCACACGCCAGAAGGCGAATTTTCAATAGATCGAGGAGGATTCTCGTAACAGATATGAAACATAGGATTCAATAGGTTTCGAAGCTTCCTGAAGACACTTCCGACTAACCACTATCGATTACTCCCGAATTTCGTAAACCTTACGATAAAAAATCTCACGGTTGTGGTGCCAATATATATGTATGATCTAGGTACTTCTTGGAACCATGCTTTGATCAAATTTGACACTAATAAAATAAACTTCAGACCTAAAGCAGAAATGTCACTAATAATAATCAAACAGATAAATTCAGGTACTTCTTAGGACCGTACTACGGTCATAGGTAGTATACATGTAAAACTTTGATACTAAAATACACTTCAGATCTAACAAGAAAAAGCCACAACACCATACAAAATATTAAACTAATAATAATCGGAATAAATTTAGGTATTTCTTGGGATAGTACTTTGGTCATCACTTGGAGCTGGGCGTTTACGGTTTGGAAGATTGAGATGTGCACTCAATTGGGAAACATCACTTCTCGATGTTGCAGATGTTGCATCACTTCTGTTCGTCCGCCGATTTGCATCACCCGATACCTAATTATACAAATACAGTAACAATAAAAAGAATACTAGCGATTGTAGTTTTCAAGAAAACTTCAATAATAGATGCTGAAGATTTTCGGTTGAAACTATTTGAAATTGGAACTTGGCAACTGCGACCGTTCCAGAAATATCTTGCGTATACATGATGTCTAATTTTGCTGTGTAATTCCTAGGAAGGTCAGAAACAAGAAGCGCCCTCTTTTATGGAAGATGAGGACTGCAAGACAGCATCGAGACCGCCTAATCATTCACTGCAATGCATACTGCGCAATCATCAAGAGCGTAGTTTATTAGCAATCCTTAAACTAATTCTTTCGCTAGCATAAACCATCGTGAAATCTAAATTTTTTTGCCAGATAAACCATCGTGAAGTCTAACGACTACTCTAATAGAAATTTGGCGATAACCTATGATTCACAACATAACATAACAATTTGGACGTCAAAGGGAACAAAACTATACCGTTTCACTAATTTGACTTTCGGATGTTCTCTTCAAACGCTCAATTTCATGCTCCAATGTAACGTTTTCCTGTTCCAATTTGCGATTCTGCGCTGAAATTTTCTCCAAATCGGCCTTCTTTGAAGTGATTAGATCGATTGACTTCTTTAGAACAATAGCCCGTGAAGCCTATAAATTAAATTCTGATAAGAATACTTTATTAATCGTATCGAAGATAAGCATATCAAAATAAAACACTATACGACAAACCTGGCGTTAATAGAGTGCAAAATATGTATCAACAGATCGTTCTCTTGCATAACGATCGTAATGTGATATATTTTAGTGCACCATTTCTACAGAGTGATTATTTCTGGAACTTTTTGGATGACTTTAAAATCTTCCTATCTTAGTTATATAATATGAGATAAAACTAACATGAATAAGAAAGGAAACAAATAGAAATATACTCTTTCATTCTGCATGCCAGGAATAGCATCCTTTAAAGCACCGTACATATCCTTGATATTATCACGACGACGTCGTTCTAAAGCATTATGCTGCGCGCGGGCATGCCGTTTACTATCACTTGCACGTGCTGAACTTGTTGCACTATCATCCTAAATTAATTTACATAAGCGCTATGTTTAAATACCATAAGAACTAATTATTCCTGACCTTATCGGATAAAATATCAAATTTAGGGACATCAGTGAATTAGTGATGGCTTATAAAAGTTAAGGAGAATTATGTTGCATAATGTTATGACGAAATTCAACACATTTTATAGATTTTAAGCCCTTCGGTCAAAATTTGCAATAATAAGAAATGAAATAATTATAGTATGATTTCTGATTAATAAGGAGGAGCACCAATCATAGATTTTACTTCTACCTCACTAAAATCGGCATCACTCATACTTCCAAACTGTGCTTTGGTGTAATGTCACTGATCTGAAGTACTTCCAAACTTGCCTAATCAAACGTTCAATCGATAATTCCAAACTATCCTGAAAGAGTTAGATGGAAAGTTAAACGAACTATTAACCAAAAATGTGTGTAATGTCATTGATCTGAAGTAATCGTTTGATATATTTTTCATCAGGTAAATCCAATCCGCTAAATGCAGAAATAGTGATCTACCTTATGCTGCCCTAGTAGTCTGCACAAAGTCTAATTAATGAGAGTAACATATTGAAGATTCGGAAAGCACAAGTGGCAGAAGTTTAACCAAAACAATTAGTCAAGTCTTATCAAAGTATAGCAAAACGTATGAAGAGTTACCTAATAAAGATCTAATTAATGAAAGCTAAAATTACGAGTAGAAGCCTAAATAGATATCAAAGCAGCGTAACAGTGAACAAAAAGAAACAATGAAAAAAGAAAACGTTCACAATGTTCACAAAAAAGAAGAAAAGCAGAATTATCAACAGCAATACTAACTTTTGAAATTAAAAATTAAGTAATGTGTAGTGGTACGAGGAATTTCATTGCGGTCTATCCATTAAGTATGGAGAGGTTTTTTTTTCTATTATTTTCAAATTTTAATAGTCAATCTGAGAGATGTGATATGAGGATGCAATTGAACGTCTTGACATTACTTTCCATCTCTCGTCATCATTATTAATGAGCTAAGCATACATCGTAAATTGTGCGACATAAGTGATTTTGGGTGTTGGAGCACTTGAAAGATATCACATATATAGAGGTTACAGGTTTCAGAAATAACAAGGCATATGTGATGATTGTTAGTGGTACGGTAACCTTTTTAATGCTTCATATATTATTTTTTATCTCACACTTCACCTGTTATGTATTCTTAATTTATTTTGTGAGCAATCTTTTTTTTTTTCAAATATTATTTGTTCACGTAAAGTAATTTCTGTTTCATTTATTGTGTTTATTTATGTGTGATCTACTTCATATTTTTCTAGAAATGGTAGATATTACGGTAAATTCGGTGGATGAAGCAAATTATGATACACTTGAGTGGATTCCTGAAAATGCTCCCTATGTTGAAATCGATCCGGAAAAGATAAAAATAATCGAAACTCCAACGGAATTTTATGACAGAATACTGGTTGGATGTTTAGTTTTTAAATTGAAACTTTCGGATTTTGTTTTGTTTAAAGTCCCTTTAAATGAAAGCTTTCAGATTTCGTCTCTAATTAATTATTTTCATGTATGTGGAAAATTCCAGTTGAAAGTCAAGTTTGACGTCGAATTGGAGACAAAGGAAATCTTTTTATATGGGTTTATTCGTTTGATATATCTTGCCACCTTTTTAGCGCTTAATTCGAGAAGCTAAAGAAAGAATCGTAATCTCGACTTTGTATTTGGGGGATGGTAGCTATGAAAAGGCTTTGGTAAACACTTGCTATTTTTTTCCAGTTGTTAGAGAATAATAACTTTTCGGAAGGATTAAGTTTCACTTCATATTTGATTAAATTGTGTAGTTCTTTCAAAACATTCGCTATGGACAGAATATACAACAATTGAGATTTATGCAAACAACTGGTTCGACAAAATTTTTTTATGAAGAGTTTTTGATATTTCTGTGAAATGACAATAAGACATTAATGGTAATTATAGGAGAGCAGTAATTAAATATTTGTGTTTATGAAAAATTTCTTTTCCTGAATTTTGTAGGTGGACGAATTGGAGAAAGCATTCGATATGAATCCAAATATAAAAATGAGCATCCTTGTGGATTACCTGAGGGGTACGCGTGGTGGAGCAGAAAGCAGTTTAATTTTGTTACTAAGAAGGTAAGGATGCATTATAATATTCAACTTAGAGAGAGGAAACCAAACTCTTTACATAAGCAAAATAGTAGAGAGTTTTTTGATATCCGCGATATTAAGATATTCCGAGTGCGATATATTGTTTAAGGATACAGATATCCTGCAACTATAGGTGAAACAGTGGGGATATTGAATTATTGAATAACTAATCCTTTCTTGATATTCATAATATACATCATATATTACTAAACAGAAGGCATTTCTGTGTCTCATAATATCAACAATAGAACTCTTCATTTATTAACCAACCTTATTTAAACTAAATTTTAAATTTAAATTTTAAATTTTCTTTAAAATAAATTTTAAACTAAAGGCTGATTCCGCGTGCGTCAGTATATTTATTCCATACCCCATGCTTACGCGGTCTCAAGAAAATGATACTGCCTGAAAGAGTGAATGAAGTGATCGGCTTGCAACATATGAAACTTTTGCTGTTCGACAATCACATCATCTTTACCGGGTAAATTTCCGTATGTCTAACCAAAACTATTTTGCTCTAGAATCTGAGAACAACCAAGAAAATTCGCTTGAAAAGGGGATAGCATGCGTTCAGCAGTTGAAGAGGTTGCTTTCTGTAATGTTAGCAACATGGAAATTCAAATGTGTGATGTTAACCAAGTTTTTATATCTCCTCTCCTGTTTTTTCTGACTGACATGAAAATAGATAATAGTTGGTTTAAAGCTCGTGAAAAAGTAGGAAACTCCTAAAAGTATGGAAGGAAATAGTCTTATTATATTGAAAATTATGGGAAGAGATATTTGAAAGTTTCGAACAGTTCTTCATTTTTTTAAACTTCTTTTATAGTGTTTTTCATGCTCATTTTTCAATTACTTATATTAAAAGATAAGCAGGGAAGGGAATGTTGCATTTATTGTCATGAAAATCGAAACTAAATGATATATGTCAATTTTTAGCGCTAATCTTTCGAACATTTATTTCACAAATCGACGGGACAGATATATACTTGTCGAGAATTGTCCACAACTCGCAAATTTTGTTGATTCGCTGGTTGAAGCTGTTGGATCATGCTCATTTATGTTGAATATGAGAGGGACCACTAGCCTGGCTGAAAAATGCGATGTTCATCCCTTTAAAGGTTCGTTATGATTAATTATAGTGTTAATACCAATCATATCAAAATTAACTTGTTCATGTCCAGAGAATACTGTTGCTCTCTAAAAAGAGATTGTAAGATTGTAATATTTACCGATATTAATAATTCGGATTTGTCCTATAAGGAATATTGAAAAATCACTGAAATTTTACAATCTCTTTTTCAGAATTATAGTACAATGGCTTGAAGCGTATTTTCTTCTGGGTAGATTAGTGAGGTTCTGCTTTTAATCTTGGCAGATCTCTTAGATCAGCAGATGGTTTCCTTCTGAAAATTTTTGTTGCAGTAAGTAGCCGTTAATTTTGTTATTTTTCTGGCATAGGCTGCTTTCATATTTGGTCCAGTTTTTTTTCATTCAGGAAATTTTGAAGCATATAGGAGCATGCTGCATAACCGAGTTATGTCAACGCTGAATGTATTCAGCAAAGAATCTGGTTCAAAAAGTAATTTCGCTACCGGTACACGAATATATCCGTTGTTACAAATGGGCATCATATCGATCAATCAGGAACTGAAGTTTTTAAAAAATCTGCTGTCTCTGCAGGTTCTTGGATTTTTGGCAATTGTAATATAGAAAAAGAGTTTTTCTACTTTCATTTTCTTTATTATGCCTGCCCTTAGAATTCATAGTTTGATTTCTTCAGATTTTGAAGTTTAACAGTTCTGCAGTTTTTCAGAATCGCCAACTTTCGTTAACAATATCATCAGGCTATTTCAATTTTACTGATTGTTACATTGATCTGGTAGCAAATCAGAAATCCTTCGAAATGGATATCGTTTATGCATCACCTCAAGTTAGAAATTACTTGACCAACTTCATAATCATTTCATTGATTTCATTCTTCATATATTTGTATTTTGAATTTAGGCAAACGGATTCTATCAAGCATCTGGTTTGTTTGGTTTTATACCGTTGGTGTACGTTTATATATCATATCTTTTATATAAAATGATTGGTCCGAACATTCGACTATTTGAATATAATAGACCAGGATGGTCTTATCATGCAAAAGGTTTATGGGTTGATTCAAGGCAGTCGTCCCTTTCGGCTACTATGATTGGCTCGTCCAATTTCGGTATGTTTTCAGTTTCCAAAAGTTTCGAAATCTAATTAATTTTTGACAATGAGTTGGACAGTTCCTGTAGCATTGTTACGGCAATATCCGAAACTATGCTTTTTTCTACAGTTTAAATAGCATCAGCATCTAGAAAACAATTAATTTGTGTTTGCCTTTACAGCATAGTGGTCTTTTTAGCTATTTCCAGTTTTTCAAAATATGTCTGGTTTTATTTTCACGTTATCCACTTTGAGCTGAGCAAAAGTTTTCTTGATAAATCTTTATGGTAAAATAGGTTGTTTAGTGGTTGGTTTGACATAGGAACTTATCGTGATCTTGAATGCTTTGACTTTGCTTTTTCACAAGTCGTTGAAAAAATATGAACTGTAGTCCTGGCTGATGTTCTAGAAAATCTTTTTTGTGATAAGCTTCAAGGCATACAAATATTTTATATCTGGCGAATATTTCCATGCAAATTTTTCAGGACACCGCTCTGTACATCGAGATCTCGAGGCACAGTTCCTTATAATTACTTGTAATGAAAAATTGAAAGCGAGCTTACAAGAGGTAAGTTTTATTTATAGTACTAATCAAAAAGACGATGAAGCAGGTCCTATGCTATTTATTAAATGATTGGAAATTTTAACAGATCTATTCTCAGATACAAGGTTATTAATTATGTAACAGTGGATTCCAGTCATCCATTCATTTTAATAAAATGTTTTAAGGAACGTTCGCGAATAATGGACTATGCAATAAAAGTAGATACTGCTACTTTCTTACGGCATGATCATTTCGTTCCATTCTGGATTCGTTTAATTTCCCGGTTTATTCGGAACTATTTCTGATATCTGGTTTATTTTTTGTCATTCTGTGTTTCCTTCTTTTACGCCGGTTAAGACAGCAAAATTTAATAAGAAAAATCAATGATTGTTTTGTTTATTAAAAGCGTATTGTGTGTTGAAGTCTGCTAATTTGTGCTAAATATTGATTGTTGGTACATTCATTTTTATCCTATATTTGTTCAATGTAAGTTTCAATAGTCTTGCCTTCGTTATATTTACTCAAACCGTTTATTATAAATGTATAAATGTTCTATATGTAATGCTTTGTGTCATCTCAATGATAGTGAATGACGATTGCTCAATAATACTTTGTTTTTTCAAAAGAATTTGTTACTAATCATCAGATATTCTATGCACATTCTGACCACCATTGATTAGATCATTATTCATAATCAAAAAGGCGAAACGAAAAGCACAAGTTATACAAATTAGAGCATGCAGACTTAAAAAAAATATATTTTATATACGAATGCACTTAATTCGTGTAATGTTAGTCTGTAGAAATTTGATTTCTCTGAATATTTCTTTTAGTCGTTTGTGTTTTTCGTTTTCGCAGCTCGATCTTTCATTTACGATTTCCTCAACTTTTACATGTGCGTTGATTATATATTTTTTTTTCAACAGCATTGACAAAGCTATGAAAGAAGATAAGATTTTAATGAAGACATTTTAGATAATTCCATGAATGCTATAGAAAAAATCTAAAAGATCTTGATGATGTGGCACTTGTATGTATATGTATAGGAAAGGAGAGATTGGACGATATGGTGAAATAAGCTTAAGAAAGATAGTAGTTATAGGTTAAATTATAATTTTCATTTGTTACAGAATAGATATGGTATTGTTACAAGGCCTGGTATTTGGCCGTGCTGTAATGGAATCGCTAGCACGAAGGGGTGTAGTTCCAGCAGCAACTACTGTACGTCTCTCTCACCGAAATCGGGCGCAGCGTAAAAGTGGACTGTACCGTGGATGCAAGCGTACGACAAATCCTTATGAAAGTAAGGAATTACTGCAAAGATTAGAGAGGTGTTCAGTTCGCCATTTGTCATCAGGAACGACAATTGTTTCATCTTCGAAATCGTTGGAAGAGCTTCTCAAAGATGAAGTTTGGTAGGTGATTCCCTGTTCTTTATCCTTCATATTAATGAAGGATTCGTTGCGAGTTTGACTTTTTTACACCCTTTTAACCTTTGGTTGGAAGCAATGTTGGTTTTAGTTGTTTCAAGTATAGTGATTTAAGTAATCTGTTTAGTGATTTAAGAAAAAAGCTACGTTTCAAATTATGCAGAATTCTGATCCTAAAGATGACATTATACTTGCCTCTGATGAAAGTGCAGTCTTACTGCTGAGCTCAGAAAACTACATCATTTGAGAAAAATGCTTGTGTAAGAGATTATCCTTTCGGTTGATTTTTTAGAAATTTTGACAATTTTCTTTAAATTTTTTTTTAATGTGCTAATTCACTTGTTTAACGAAATTATGTTGTTCTTCTCTCCATCTAAAGTAAGAGTTGGTATAGAAAATGCAACGAAGATAAATTTTCTGTTCTTGACTGAATATTAAAGTGTAGTTGCAGGATTCTTGTGACGTTCTTTTAATTTAAGGATTCCAGTTTATCGTTTTCGTGGGATCCATTATTCTGTTTTGGCAATGAAAATGAAGCTGGCATTAACACTCTCAAGTGTGACTTTGATCCCATATAAATATTGGCAATATCTTGAGGATGCAGTACCCATCAACCATCTCGCATCTATTTCAGCTTTTGCCTCCTTCACAACTTTGGCATTCATCTTCTTTTGCAGGTGTTTTTACTAATATCTATAGACTTAATTAAACAGGTATTAAGGGAAACTTATGAATAAAACATAATGGACAAGTAGATAATCGTGGGAACATGTCTACAGCGTTATAGTTTATGTTTGTTTTTCGAGTTTTTATTTCTCCAAAAATTACCCTCGTTTCATTAATTTTGTGGATTTCATAATAATGAAAATTTTCAGATATTTCAATGGTCTAATAGGCGTGATTTCGATGAACGAAACTAATGAATATATACGGGTCGGATATTTGTCATTTTGGGGAAATAGACGTAATAAATACATAAAATTAGATGATGTCATACCGCTTAATGAATCAAGCACTGGGATTAATAGTAAAATTGTACGCTTTCGACGATATTCATCGTATGTGAATTTCAATTCTAAATTAAGATTGCTTACTGCGTTAAGACTCACTTAAACTCACATAAATCTAGCAGATTTATAATTTTAGGATTCCAGAGTTCATCATCAGAATTATTACCTTCATTCATACCGCGATTTTAATACTTTTGGACTGTATCAAAAGATTGATAAAGAAACATTCACTTATTACTGAATTATGAGCAAATTGAAGTAGGAGATACGATGTCTTCTCAAACTTTATGTTCAAAAATCTAATTGTGTCTTGGTTTGATTTTTATATGTGTAGAAATCTTCACTTTCATTGTAGGAATGAAGTGCTGAATCTAGCATTATTTAACATGGAACTGTTGGACGATGAACGAGCCACTATTCTGTTCGGTGATACGGCTGTCTTCCCTCTCTCTAGCAAAGAAGTGAAATGAAGCAATTTGGGAATTTAATTATTCCTGGTTAGTAAGCTATTTAAAACGACTGCTAATAAATTGATTACAAATTTCCGAATTAGGATTGATTGCAAAAATCTTCTAACCATTTTCAGAGAGGTAGGATGTATTCTTTTTGGATATCTTGATAGAGAAAATATGCTCATTTTATTTGTCACAATAACTTCTTGAAATAATTTCAGACAATAATCTGTTGATGCAAGACAGTTTTTCTTATTCGATTATATGCTAATTCAGGTCTATATGTAAACATTCGAAGTAGTCCCTGTTGTGGATATCCTTATGTTTTGCTTGTACGTTTATAATATTATATTTTATCATAAATGACTGTGCAGTATTTAAATTCAAAAATACATTACTTTTGCAGCCAACTCTGTCCTTTTTACAAGGCGAAAATGAAATGAAATAAAACTCTTTTTTTCTAGCAATCCTGAAGGAGTTTATAAAGAATCATAGGAGAATTCGTTGATCACCACATTCTGTTAATACTACCAGTTGGAAAATGATTTCTATGTGAAGGAATCTCGCAATGCGATAGGCTAATTGACATATTGTGAGGATTCATCGCACAATCAGCATGCACAAAATCACCTGTGAATGTAAATTATTGAATCTTACGGGAATGAAAATTATTGTTTAAGATTTGCAATGTATTCAACTATTCCAAATATCGAAAATATTTATTCTATCAAGAAAAATATGAATCTTAATATTACTATAAAATATATCTGAATGGTCGTCCTTAGGTCATTAAAAGATCACATTTCAATGAAAGCGATATATTCCTCTTTTCCCCTGAAGTATTACTTCCTTTGATTATCTTAACAAAATATCACTTACCAAAAGTGTGACCAATTGCTTGAGAAGATTTATTATTATTTAACCAATTCCATTCATTTGTTGATTCTGATATTACTCCTTCTGATGACATCGATGAATATGGGAAGAAATGAGGAGGTAGAGCATTCATTGTTAATACTTTTGATGCTAAAAGTTTTTCATAATTGATCATTGAATTTAATACCCATTTTCATTTATTGTTGCTATTGTTCAACATTAAACACATGCAACCATATGTTGTAGTGTTTTCAAACATTTCTTTTCAAAGGAAGGGAAAGGGAATTAATGGTTGAAAAGTTTGAACACAGAACAAAAGCATCAATTTGATACGATCAATAATTACGAATAAATGATATTGTTTGTTTGAATCATTTGAATTATGTTTGCTAATAACAGCTATAACTATTTTTATAAAGCTTGTAATTATAATGAATATAATGTAAAATTGAAAGTGATAAAATAGTTTGATATATGTATAATTATAATTAATTTAACTATTTAAAAATACCTCAATTAGAGATTTCATTTTGTAATCATTAATTAGCGGAAATTAAAAAAACTTCGAGCAAAGTATATTGATTTTTTTCTTTTATCTACTAATAATAAAAATTTACTTACAAATTGACAAGCAGCACGAATCATTTGTTGGAGTGATATGTTTATTTCTGAGAATCCTAGAAATGGAACTCACAGATGGCAAATTATGTTTATGACATATTTTGTCGTGCAATAGTTGTTCACGAATTTCCCAGGCAAAGATTCGCGGATTACGAAGTTTCAAACGATGTATATATTCAACTACCTGAGATATATGGATACATTCTGTTAAACAAAGTAAATTTAGTGAATTTAAAAATATACAGTAGCACTTTAAATTGTCAAAAAAATTTATGATATTTAAAAACAATCTTAAAGTTCAGAAATTGTTTTTCTAACGAAAAAGTGAAGATATAAAGGAAAATAAGATGATGTCGTTGAGGACTTTTTTTGAAATGCCAATTTTTGATAGAACTAATCGGTTTATCCATTCAACATTTTCTATTTTTAAAAAAGGAATTTAAAAAAATGTTTAACACACCGCAGGAGTTGTAACACGTGGTTTACTACCACCTATGGTACCAGGCATTATTGTACCATATTCTGCATAACGTGACAAAATTTTACTAATGCAACCATGTGAAATTTTTAATCGTCGTGAAATATCACATGGTCGAAATCCATGTTTTGTTAGCTCAATAATTTTGCAACGTAACCGAAGTGGAAGTGGACGTCCATTTACGAATGCACCACCAAGTTGATTGACTTCAATGCTAGATATTCCTAAAAGGAAACAAAGAAGTTGTTCCATTTTTTTTCTTAGTACTTGCAGAAACAATTGATTAAATTTGCCATTGATTAATTAAGAGTAAATTAATTAATCTGAGCACGAAATTTTCGCCAATGTTTAATATATAAAAAGTACAGGAATATGAATTATTCACCGAAAAAAAAATATATATGTTCAAATAATTCATCTTCTAGTTATCACATTTTGTATTTCAAACATGAAAAGATTATCATGATAATCGAATATCATTTTTATACATGTGATGTAAATAATAATTAATTTTAATCTTATGAATAAATCGTAATAAGTTCAGATACTGTTCTCTTAATCATAACATTTTCTTATCTATTGATAAAGCTATCTTGGAAATATTAATCTTGTTAAAAGAATTGACTATAAAAATGCGAAAATAATATGATTTATTTTATCTTCTTCTTCGTAAAAAATTCTTTAAATTTTAACAATTCCAATTTTAAATCTAAAAATTATGTACACTTACCTGATGTTTTTGAAGTGACAGATGAAATTTCCTTTGGGAATAATTCATATCCCTTTTCATCGATACCATAATCTGGCATCATTTCTCGTCCTAAAATGAAATCATTTTCTCGATCACATCAAGTTGTTTTTGTCGGTAATGGTAATCCCGCCCATCGGTAGCTTATTATCCTCTTTGTTCAGTGATTGGAAGATAGCTTACGGAATTTTTATCCTTAGATAAATAAAATGGTTGAATGATTAGTTCTGTTTGGATATGAACAACTTTATTAACGTTGTTGATTGATCTTTGCTGCACCAAATAAATAGTTATTTTCTTTCGTTTATAAAGAAGTAAAAAGGAAAGAAAACAAAAGAAAAAATTGATGGCAATTAGTAAAAATTCTCAGAATTGAAGTAACAAACTATAATTAAATTTTTTTATCATTACATATCACATATGATAAAATGATAAAAAACATCAATTCAAACAACAATTACATTTTCAGATAATTTGAATTTGTTGAAAAAGATCTATCTGAAATACCTAAATTTTGAATAATTTAAAAATTCAAAAATAAGTCTTTAATAATGAAATCATTTAGGATATCCTGAAGAATTTGAATTTAGCAATTAATATCTTATTTTAAGATTTTTTTAAAAACCTTTTCGATGTGTTATTTATTTAAGAGAGAAAAATAAAACAAAAACTTTTACAGATCTTTTTTTCTTTATATAATCTAATAGATAACTATAATAACGTTAATAAGATGACATAAATTTGATCAATTGATTAATTTTGAACAATTTTAAAATTTTTCAAATTTCAAAAGTGTCAATAACACAAATATATTATCAATATATGCAAATTTCTTTTTCTTCATTCTGTATAAAAATTTTAAATAACAAATATTTAACAAATTATTCGTTACAGTAATGAATGGAAATTGATAATAATGTGGTGGTCAGATTAAGTGGAGAGGTCATCGGTAAAGAAGGATGAGAAGGTTGACCAACAAACATTCTCTTTGAACGATATTTTATTTTCCCATAACGAAAAATTTCTTGTAGAAATAAAGCGCACAGATATATTTATAAAGCGGAAAAGTACATTTAAGGTATAATTGACAATGTATGGGAAATTTTTCACAATAAAATGCTTTGTTTTTTATATTTTCATTTTTTAAATTTGTTATTTTATTTTAACTTTGAATTGTTATTTCAATTTTTAAAATTATTTTCTTTTGAATTTATCATTTACTTCTGAATTTTATCATTTTATTCCCTTCAAAATTATTATTTCATTTTTAAACTTACTATTCATTTCACTTCGCATGATAATTATATTTTTTTATTGTCTTTGCATTTAATTCCTTTTGATTTCTCCGACTTCATTTTAATGTGTAACATTTTTCAAAGTTACACATTATTTACTTTCATTTTTATGCATTCTTATTTACATTTCAAACTTTATATTAGCAGGAAAAGTAGGAAATTTTTAATGAAATTAACTTATATGAAAAATTAGGAATTTAAGAACAATGAATGTCAAAATGAGATTAAAATTTAAGTAATTAATTTCTTAAATGTATGATATTTTAATTTTGAATATCAACAAAAGGAAGCAATTTTGATTGATTTGAAAATACAGGAATGAATAATATATTTGCTAAAAATTTACGAATTTTTTCCCTCCCTCTTCCACATTAGATAAATTTATATTTCAAAATTACTAAATTTATAGTCCTTTAAAATAAATTTTGAAAAAGTTTGTACTTAGCAAATTTGTTAAAATTCCATTTTTTTTCAAAAATTAAATATGATGAAATATTCCAAAAGCAAACTCATTTATCTTTCTTTCCACTTTTTTTATGGAATTTGTTTAATTAAATATATGTTTACCTAATGAATATAAGTAATACATAAGAAAGATTAATGTTGCATAGGATATATTCAATTACAGAAGCATTCCGATTCTTATTTCAACTCAATATCGTTTTTGTTAATCGGTTTCTCTCGTTTCCGATTTCATCAAAAGGAAAATAAAAACTGATTTAATAAAATAACAAAATCCATTAATTCAACTTTATCCGAATATATGATTATGGAAAGAATTGTCATAATGCAGCCATGTATCCTTTAATTGCATTGATTATAGGAAACGTTAGTTTTAGGTTTATTCAAATCCAATTAATTATAGTTAATTAAAAATTTAAATAGCAATTAACATTTTATCACAAATTCTTAAATGCTTTTATTATGGATAGGAGTTAGAAATAAATATTGGCTTAGAATAAATATGAAAATTAAGTAATAATTTGACTAAATTTAGAATTGTGTGCCAATTGGAGGATACATAAGCAATAATATTGTTATATACGTTGAAGAATAAAAAGAAAAAAATCAAAATAATGCTTGGAATAATTAAAATGGCATATTCAGTATAATTAATAATTTTTATGAAAAAAATTTATTTAACACAGATACCATATTAATTTAAACATTCCTTCATTCTGTCACGTACGTCATATATTAGTTAGTATTTCTTATGTATTAATTAGTTAAGCTTAAAAATAATCTATAATTCCTATCATTAATTACTTTGACTGAAATGAAAAATGCAAGTTAAAATTTTAGTAATAAAATTGAGCAAATCAATTGCAATGAAATTTCAATCTTCAGGATTTCATTTCCTTTAAATTTCCGTTTCTTTGTTTTATCTCATACATTTGTAATTAATAACAAATAATATTTTAATACCACAAATTTCGTTGATATTATAAATATTATATTGTAACTGATTTGATCTTTTTGCAAAAATAGAAAATTAAATTACGAAATGCTATTTTCCATTTAATTTTGAAAATTTCAGTGCAATGATTGTTAAATAATAATAATATTTAATCTTTTCATTTTGAAAGGAAAGTAATTTTCATTGAAAAATTAGAAATGTTTTCATAAAACTAAACTCTCTACCTGTATTTTTCACAATTCATTCATAATTGGAAATAATTTTATTATGGATAAAAGTCATTTTATGCTTCAAATTTAACAAAATTTGTCTAAAAATTCAAAAAGAAAGAAACAATATATTGACAAATAATAACTATATTAAGGTTATAATATGTATAGCTATTATTATTATTATTATTATTACTATTATTATTACTATTATTATTATTATTTAAGATAGTTTAGAAATTAATCAAAATTTTTGAAAAAAGATTCTATTATTTAAAAGTATTTAAATTTTTAAGAAATTGAAAGCATTTAAATTGCAAATAATCTGTTGTTAATTGATAAGCATATATTCAATAATATGATAGCATCTTTTTCCTTCCCATTTTTCCTACGTTTTGAATATATTTTATATTTTAAATTAAAATTTTAATTATATTTTACATATCGAACTTAATTGTTCATTATTAAACTCTTCAAGAGAATGAATACGTTTTTTCATAATTGCTAATTTTTGAATTTAAACGAAAAATTGCAAAAAGAGAGTGGCAAAAACTTGTAATTTTTTTCCAACTTGTTGACTAATTTTATTATTTTCTATTATATTTTCCATTTTTATTTCTGTTACACATTAAGTTTTTAATTAATTTTTGTTACGCATTAATTTTTTAATTACATTTGTATGCAATTATTAATGCAACAACTTTCATGGCAAGAATTCATCTACAGTTAAAATATTCCGTTAGGCTCTCATAACAATAATATAATAGCATCTTTCTATATCAATAGTATGATAGTATCTTTCTGCATTGATTCATTTGATAATTCTCTTTCTGCATTCATCTGCATGATAATGGAGGAATGTTAGAAATCAGTTGCTAATAATTCACGAGAAGAATCAATGTAAACTGTTAGAGATTAATTACCGGTAGTTTCCAAAGGCTTTTAAAAATTTATCCTTAAATTCTTAAAAGATTCAATTCAAAACTATCACAGATTAATTATTATAAAATTTCGAAAAGAATCAATTTGAGATGCTGAGATCCCAAATTTCAAGATGCTACTGAGTTGATGAATGGCATAAATTTTGGAAATTAAAATTTGCGGAGATTATCATTTATGAAAGGCTAAATTATAAAAGCTGAATTTGAACACATTCGCTTCCTTTTAACAAGTGACACTTTTCGGAACGATGCAAAGACTGAAACCATTTATGTTAATAATCATGTGCGCATGTTATTGAAGACGTTGCAATAATGTCTATGCCGCATTCTTGTTAATTTCCATTTTGTATTGCCATGCTTAAATATGAAGTTATTTATGTATGAAGTTATATACAATTCCAAGAATTTATCGTATAATAGATTTGCATATTTCAGAGAGAGAATTTCGTTTTAAAATTTTCCATCACATGAATTTAACGAAGTAGCAACATATATGGTGATAGATGATGATGTATTAGATATTTTAAAGTATTTCGAAATTGATCCAAATGTAGGTTTCTTACTTCCGAATCCATCAGCGAAACTTCCTGAGGAATTCGAACCATGGCATCAAATTGCTGGTAATTGCTTGCATTCTTCATTATGGCTTATTTTGATATCAACAACTTACTATCAAATGCGTTCTTTTTTTCCTAGATGAAATATTCAATTTTATAATTATAACTGTCACTACTAACTTTTAACTTATTTTTTTGATTAAAACTTATCATTATTAATTTATTTCCAAACAAATATTTAATAGTTTCAAGTTATGATAATAAAAATTTGTTTGATGTAAACTGTGAACGAATAATTGGAATATTTTGTTTAATTTTAAAATTTGCATTGGTTTGTAGATGAAATTCAAGAATTAATAGAATATAATATGTTAGAAGATCGATTACAACAACTTCCATTGATAAGTACGGATATACTTAAAACAAATAACGAATTACGCTTAGCCCATCTTTTGCTGACCACTTTAGCAGCTGGACACGTTTGGCAAGATGGATCTGATAAGGTGATAAAGTTTATTTATCATGCAGTGTTTGTCGTTTAGCAAGTATTACAATACTATGAAAAAGCAATATTTGCAATTACAAGTGCACGTCTGCATGGCATTTCATGAAAAAACCATTCTATTGTTAAGTTAATTCACAAACTTTTAACTTGATTGTTAGAATTTTTCAGGCTCGATTAACCGTTCCGGCAAATATTTCATTACCATTGTTCGATGTATGTTATCGTTTAGGTTTGAAACCAATAGTTTGCCATGCCTCAGTCTGTTTAGCTAACTGGAAACCGATACAGGAAATGTCAGCTTTCAATGCTGCGATGATTGATATCATTGCTTTCCGGTTTATCAAACATCCTGGTAATCGATGGTTTTTTACACTTACTGCTCAGGTTAGTCCAGAAAAGTGCGTATTTGTTGTATTTGGTAACAAACAAATTTTAGTTCATTATTAGATCATGGTAATTACAACAGATAGAAGCTGAATTGGCTGAAGCAATATGTGCAATTACAAGTGCATGTCTGCATGGTAAGATTGAAGAATCAACAATGCAACATATTTATAATGGGGTGACAAAAGCGACAAGTACCATTGAGGTCCGACATTATACCGTATTTAATAGATCGTATTAGATTAGCCGATTAAACTATGGTGAATGATACTGTATTTCTGAAACAGTTCAACATAATTTTTTTAAACAAGATTATAAGAAAATTTTCCTTCATGCCAGTTAATAAATTTAATTTTAAAGAAGTTTAATTCGTATATTCTTAATTGAACCACTGAAAATTTTAATCAATTGATCTAAATTAGCTAATTAATGATAACATTTCTGAAACTTTGAAATATTGGAAACTATGTCAAATCAGGTTATGCTTTGGCAATGATCTTCGTTTACTCTTAAATATAATTAGATACTAGGATTATCACTTGATAATGTTTTCTTTAATTCAAAATTAAAGAACAGTTAGAAAAGTGAAAGAAATGCTTGAGAAAGAAAGTTTTCTTATAATTTTGTTTAAAAATTTCTTGAAACAAAATTCGAATAGTGTATGGAGGAGCACGTCCCACCGGATATTTTCTACAATGGTTTTCGTCATTTTCTATCTGGTTACACCCATAATGCGTTATTGGCAGAACAAGGTGGTGTTATATTTGAGGGTAATAATCATTTATTTGTATTTTTCTTTGCTTTCACTTTTTCATGATTTGTATTGATTTTCGTTTTTCAATAAATTAATGTTAGACCAACTAAAACTGAATAGCTTATCTTCATTATTAGATTTCTAATTCCATGATAACAAATTTAATATTTAAAAGCATCTCTAAATAACTATAGTTAGCAGGCTATTTGATAGAAGAATCACTTTTAATAATGAATTTTAAATTTAGGAAAAGAAGATTTGGGTCCTCAACCACTTAGTGGAGGTTCAGCAGCACAAAGTTCAACATTTCATGCTATTGATGGATTTCTTGGAATCAAACATGCACATGACATAGAAACATTTCTGGCACATCATCGTGAATACATGCCACCCAAGCATCGTGAGTTTATCGCATGGGTTCGAGAAAATGTCGCCAAAATTCCGAATTTACGGAATGTTCCGGGTTATCATGAAGCTCTTGTTGCTGTTAAGAAATTCCGAGAAGTACATATTAGCGTGGTGAGTTAAGTTTATGCTATGGCGCATATTTAGGGGTACCTACATAAAATTTTACTTCGAAATAGTTGAAAAAGATTATATTATTAATTATTTACACGTTTTAGGTAACAAAATTTATCGCTTTACCAGCGCAAGGGAATTCTAAAGTGGGCACCGGTGGTTCATCATTTATGCATTTGTTGCATAATATTGCCAATGATTGCACTCTGTGATTTTTTCAATTAATGATGAAAGTAAATTATCACTTCAAGTGTTATTAATTAAATACCATATTTGTCGTAATAGCCTTAACAAATTATTCTAATATATCTAAAAAAAGCAATGACAAACATTGACTGTAATTAGCTAAGCCATTTAATAAAATACATATTGTGCTGTTGATGTGAAAAAGTATTTGAATAAAACTTTTACTATAATAGAAATAAAACTCTTACTATATAAAGATGTCATAAATTGGAAAATCTAGCAAAGACTGAATCTATTACAAAATCTAGCAAAGACTGAAAAAAGCTAAACAATATATATCTTATTGCAGTGTTTTTCAGTCATCAACATTAAGATTGAAATTTTAGAAAGAAATAATTTAAAGTGAACAATTTGATGATTGTCATTGTAAATAAAACCATGTTTCATCAATTATTTTGCATTTTACGAATGACCACATGAAAATTCCATCATATATACATAACAGCTCAAATTTAAATTCAATGAGCAAAATTTGACAAAAATTAGTAGTGAAAAGTATAGAAAATTGTTTGCAAACAAAATGACTGCACTAATATATAGCAACGATCCTCTTTCCTTCATTGGAATAATTCGTCAGGCTCACCAATTATATCCACAAAGCGACGATGGATTGCACCTTTATAAATTTTTTGATTCCTGCATGAAATGATGATTGTTACTGTAGAATTTTCTAGTGTATCAACTGATACATAAGAGTAATAAGTTGCATTAAATTCATTATTTATTAGTATGAGTAACTGAAGTAACATAATAAGTGGAGTAATTTTATGGTCAGTAAATTGTAGCATTTAATTCTTCTTAATTGTATAGTAAATTTCATAAGGGTCAAAAGTATGCATGGAAAAGAGAGATGGGAAATATTTACTCATTACGATAGATTGCTCCAGCGATCATTGCTATTTCAAATAACACAGCTAACCAAAGTAATACTGTTACCCATGTCATGCTTTCATATCCGAAAAAAATATGAAATGCATATCAGAAAATTTTGAAACTTGGAAATAGAAGAATTTGAAATTAGTAAAATCGTTGGACTAAAAATTTAAACCACTCCATCCAGATAACTTTTTTGTCTTATTAAAGCTCAAAAATAAAAATACTGCTAGCTAATCATATCGGTTAAATAAATTATCATATTTAACATGTAACATGTTTTTCATCCTTTTGTAATACCTTGCTTACTATGTAATACTTTGCTCACATGTGGTAAATAGTTGCAAATTTTTATAATCAAATAATAAGTAAATTTTCTGCACCAAAAATCCGACATATTTAGCTATATTATTGCTATACTGTTCGTTTCCATTCCAACTTACTTTCACTACACTCATATCCCTTCGAGAGATGCTTACATATACAAGTTACTCGTTCGATTGGAGTTTTCGAATCAGCCATTTTGCATTGACCATTATTTTCGCATGTATCGTCAAGACAACTTTGCAGAACTGTAAAATAATTATTATTTATATAACGTGTCATTATCATGTAAATAGGCATATAATACAATAAAACCAAAAAGTTTTTTACAAGAAACTTTGTCTCAGAGAAGAAGTTCATATATTGATTGATTCATTAATTATACTGTATTAGAAGCATTATAATTATTCTTCACACCAAATTACTTCATCATGATTTAAAGTGATAGTTTTACTTATTTGATAACAATATGAGGTGGAATTCCTCCAGCATTCGATTCTTTGATTATGTTTTGGATGATATATATAAAGTTGCCTGCCAATCGGTATATATCCATAACTGAAAATTCGCTATCATTTTCCATCTCTATCTTTTCATCTTTTTAAATCTTAAAATCTTTCATGTAATTCTTTATGTTCTCTAATAAACCAAAATTTCTATCTCTAAATGAAGTAAGATACATTGGACGGAGGTCATTGTAGAAACTACCAGGAAATCCAATGAGAATACATTATTCCCGATCAGTACTGAAGGAATTATAATTTTAGACAAATATGCCTAATAAAAATATATTTATAGGAGCTATAAATGCCTCAAAAAGACGAAATAATCAAAGCCATCTATAACTTTATAGATCACAGAATCCACTATTAACGTTGCAAGTACGTCTTATAAAATACACGGTAAAATCGGCTGAACATATTGTTTCAATATTGATTATATTACATGAGAGGGATAATTATTGAGAGTTCAATTTGATGGGAGAGTATAATTACGTTTAATTACATAATTTTGCCATTTTTCTTTTTCAGTTTTTTGAAATAAGAAAGGAAGGGAATGTGGAAAAAGAGTGCACGGAAAAGTTAGATACCAATGATATTTTTAAAAATTTTCGAATTTAATAACAGACATCTTTTTGTACGTTGAATCAGTCGTATTTATCATCTTTTCATCAACGAACCATCTCGACGGATCAGGAATCATGCACTGAACAGTATTTGGTATGCCTTTATTCCATAATAGCGGTTCACATTGTGATATTGCGAATCCGAGAATAGTTGAAGAACTGTAATGAATAATTTATAGGATAATTGAAAATTTTTAAAAGGCAATTTATTAAAACATTCTAGACCAAAACATTAGTAGATTTCAGCATGGAAGACATTTCAGAAGTTTTCTTACAATTTTTTTGTAAAAATTTTTGTAAAAAGGAAAAATGGCATTTGAATGAATCGAACAAGTTAACAAATTTCGTATTTTAATCAATTTTTTTTAGTCCTTCGAACAACTTAAAGTCAACGCTGAAGGGAAGGAAAAAACTTTCGAACACTATATTTCAAATATCATTTGACATCTTCCAACTTGAAAGATGACAATAGTTCGGTGGAAAATTCTAAAATTCTCTAATGAATAATACCATAAAATTAGAAACTTCAATTCTACGATAATATATGACGACATAATTGCTACGAGCAACCGTTTTTAGCGATTCCGAAAATAACACATCATTGAAGTGAAATTATTATTGTGTGATCTTTGCTACACTAATTTCAAGTGGTTTTATACTTGCTATTTCCTGTCTTTATTCTCATATTAATATTCAAATATGGAAGCAATTACTATCTGTTTACTGTGCTTGAGATTTCATATTGCATTAATCGTAGCACAGCTGTGATCTAAGGTTATTGAGGGAGAATGCTTCTGGGTAGGATCGAGGTGATGTGGAGCTCAAGAAAGAGAGAAACGTAGAAAATAGCATGACAGGTTGCAGCAATCGCCAAAAATGGAGAAATAACATCTCACAAATCAAGATTAGTCAAATAATAGTGATTGGGAATTAAAGAGGAGAGATTAGTATTTACAAGGAGAGAAGAGCATTAGCTGATTGAAGAATGCAATATACGGTGACCTTATTGATTGGAGAGATTTGCTAATGGTATTTGGAGTTGAGATTATTAGTGTGGTTAATTTAACAGAATATATTTGCATAGAGAAAGTGAACAAGTTTTACACCAAAACAATCACCAGAAATGTTTCAATCCGGTGTTTTTATATTTTTTTCGATAAATCAGTAAATAATCCACTGTAAAGACCAATTCTATAGTATAGGCGCTTTTTGGCGAAATACTTTAATAATATTTGAAAGAAATTTACAAAAGTAATAATTAGTGGATCAAAGTATCATATAGATGATGTCACTAACAAAATCTTCCAAGCAGTACGCTTCATCAACTGCCGTAATGGAACGACGAAAGTGTGAAAAGGAACGAAACAAATGTTAGTTTCAATATTTAAAATTATTTGATGTTAAAAATTCCACGTAATTTTTTTAAGTGAGTAAAAATTATAAGCTGAAAGTTATTTGTTCCAGTGTCGATGAAGAGGAAATTACCATCAGATGCAAAGAGTCGTTTTGGCAAAGAATTTTTCGCGAAATTATGTGAGCTATTTCAAAGTGTTGAACAGGATGCCTGTGACCAGTTACGTCAAATGCATGATGAGGTAATAAATTCCTATACCTTTCAAGACTTCTTTACGAAAACGATGATCGGAAAATTATTTCAAACACTGGAAGGATTTGCAAATTAGTTATAAGTTGCGAATTTCGATTCATTAAAAGTTAGATTCAGTGTTTTTTTCATATTTTAGTTATGGTTCTGATTGTCTTATTTGAGCATTACTCTATCAAGGCACTTCTTGTCACGCTAGTAAGAGGAAATATTTGTACTGAGTTCGCGTGAACTTAAATGCCTGTAATAGATTATGCTTTTTTAACTTCTTTAACAGGTATCAGCATATTACAAAGAACATGATTTGAATGTTATGTGGATATCGGATGATGAGGTCGATAGTAAGGAAGTTAAGGCTCCGTTATCAAAGAAAACTCATCAGGATGTTAGTAAAGGTAATGTGGGGTCATAGTTTCAAACAATCGTTAAAATTTTTATTATCAATTCTTATTTATGGCGTTGGCTACGCTTTCTCGTTTTCAATTTTGATTCACATGCGATTAATTCCTTATTCTGCCGAATTTTACATATGATCGGTGGTTAGAGTGATTTTCGTTTTAGAATGCGTGATTGTTCTATTTAGCGGTTCGCAGAAAACACTCCGTTTTTCTTCGATTCCTTTGTGCAATAACTGCAAACTCTTATAGGCGATATGCGCTCTATAAATATTCCGCGATCGAAATTGGAAGCCAAAGAAAAACTGAAACAAAAATCGAACGCCAAAAATGTTGGTGGATGATAGTCACTAGTCATATTTTACCATGATTCTTTCTTTAATAGTTCGTTTTTTACTTTTTTCGCGTCAAGATTTTCAATATTCAATTTCCTAATACTTTCAGGTAGTGGTAAATACCTCACCAATTCCAACATCTTTGTTATTGTCTCAATTCGAATTAAGCGATGATTCCGATGACAGTAGTTCCCGAAAATTCTCCGGACCCCAAACCAAAAATTGCAAGGTAAATTTATTAAGAAGATTGTAAACGAAGATGTGACAGTATGGGATCAATGGCAATGGCTTCGATTACCATTCGATGACGAATAATAATGTTTATACGGCATTAACTTTAAATTAAATGTTTATCAGTATTCTGATAAATGTTTATCAGTAGTCTTCATCACATTGTTCGTCATTCAGTTATTGTTATTGCTCGTAATAATTATTACACGACATCCTATATCTTTTTACAATATGAATATATTTACAGATTTGTTATGCATGTAATGCTGCCACAAGTTCGCCAAATAATATGATCTTAGATTGTGAAGAATGTGGTAAAACCGTTCATCAGAAATGTGCTCGTCCTGAAATTACGGCTTCACAAGCCAAAGATCCACGTTTTCTATTCGTCTGTAATGATTGCAAAGACCGTGAAGTATGAATTTATTATTTGAATTTTCTGAGGTAAGGACACCAGCTCTCTTGTACTACCTCGAATCTCTTATCCATGTTTACAATTGAAAATATACAATATTTATGAGCAGTAATATGTTGAAAGATAAGATTTTAGTTATTTCCAGGACGAGAAAATGGGATCAGGCTGTTCGAAATCAACTTCTAGTTTCAAGAAGGTGGTTTTTTTTGAACTGTAGCTTTTTGAAGAAACTGCTGCTAAATATCGTTTTTGAGCGTTGAATTTTAATTTGTTAAGTGTTTCTTGGAGTACGAGGAGAATTCTCGTGCTAATTGTGACAAGTAGAGCACTTAACAAAAGGAACGAGGGTGACAAAGTGAAGTAGTGAAATCAACATAAATATCACTTCCCATCAATCAGTCAATTACAGAATGACAAAGGAAACATGCCAAAGTCTTCAGAAGAAAGAATTCAACCGCTAAAACCAGAAAACGATATCTTGGTAACATTCTCAAATTTCGCTGCTAAGAAAGGTTACCACTCTTTCATTATTCTTATAATATTATGTTTGGTTTGTTAAAATCTTCCTTTTTAATTTAATTTTGTATTTCAAAAATTCCTTCTTACTTCAAATTCATCCAAATACTGCAACACTTACTGCATTAATATCGCTTATCGTTTTATTAGTGTTGCAGTATTTGTTTGAATTTAAAGTTAAATATGACTCCAATCGAATTCCACAAATAAAATGTGTTAAAAACTATTTTCTATTCATTTACAATTGCGTGTGGCAAATGCTTTCTAAGATATCTAATGATTATTCCAGCAAAGAAATCCGTGTCATCAGGATCCGGTGGTAGTTCAAATCTGCAAGTTGGCGGTGTCACAATGAATAAAATACTTTCTCCCTTTAATGCCAAGGATCGGAAATAATATTGATTGATGCATTGATCATATTAATTACAAAATTTCGAAAAAAGAATTCTTAATAGAAAATGGAATTCAGCATTTAATCTTCACTCAAATTTGCTTTCTTGAATTCATGTCTTGATGTCAATTTAGCTTCCTTAGGCAATGCAATATTTTATGGATATTTTTCTGACTCGCGTGAAAAGCGTTTTTTGAGGTATACTAATGTAAAAAGTGGATGTGGAATAAACTGAATAATTCTGATATGTGAATGAGGTGGGTTAAATTGTTTTTAATATGCGTATAAATCATGAAATTAGATTGGCCCATAAAGCAACCCTAAAGGTTCAGGTTGAGGAAAAAAGGAACCAAGTAGAGAGATAACGGCACAGAATGGAAAAGAATTCGGGAAGTAGATAATTCCGAAAAGTCAAAAACAAGAATAATGTGGGGTCGGATCAAATGAATAAGATTCAAAAGACGACTTATATGGAAAAGAGTAGCTTTTCAAAGAGATTTGACGTTATAATTCTGAATATCCATTATCCAGCAGTGAATTCCCAAGCGATTCCGGAAGTATCGAAGTTAAGTCTTACCAATGATAAATGAGTTTGCGAATGAGAACTAATTTATATTCTATTTAATAACATCTTATAATGGAAGTTAGTGTGAAAATATATTTCGGAAAATTGCAAACTCCGTTTGAATTTCTCGTTGTAGTTGTCGTATTTGTGTTGACATCTTGAATGACTCATCACATGGGTTGCTGGATATATGAATTCATGAATAGCTGTTATTGCGATTCCTCACTCCAATTTGGATACCGATGTTACTATGTCGTTCATTCTTTTCCATTCTCATCATAAACTCCTTGCCTATTTCTCGCCACTTCAGGAACTAACAGTCTTTGAAGAGAATTAAACCAAAACACACATATATTCTCCTAAGGACTTCTACGTCCATATGCATAATGCACACATACATAGACCGCATACACATACGTGTGCGCTTCTCATGATTCTCTTCAGTATTTCATTCTTTTATCGCTCTCGCACTCTAATCCATACTCTCTCTAAACCTAGTAATCTTTTCGCCTGGTGCTATTTTCAACACTCCCTATACAGTTCCTGTCTCGAATATTTATTTTTATGGAGAAGATGTAATAAAGAGTGGGGTTCGTGTTCTGTGGCTAAGTTTCGTGATGAATGGCTATCTGCTGCGTTTTTTTGGGACCAGATATTCAGAAGGGAGATTTGACGAAGTACCTTATGCAAGGGGAATATTTGGTCAGGTATCTTATTTGAATGAGATACTTAGCGAAGTACTTTATTCGATAATAATACACCATCATGTGCTCTGCGTAAAGGAGTCAGGTGTCTTATTTGAATGAAATACTTAGCGAAGTACTTTATTCGATAATAATACACCATCACGTGCCCTGCGCAAAGGATTACAAGGAGATGCATACCTGATGTTACCTTTAAGAATGTGTATAATGACGACAAATAAAATATTTAATTTATCCTACTACTGTTCCATATTTTATTACCGGTATTCATGCATATAATGGCAGTGAATAACCGTGTTAGGTTATATTTAATTTACAAACATGTTACTCATGTTACTCAATTTACAAACGTTTTACTCAGATGCGAGCCTACTCTTCGATACTGTTTTGCTTTACTTCTCTTCTCTCCATGCTATTTTTTCAGGATTTGTTAATTGAATGAATACACAATGAAATTAAATATTTCGTGCGCAACGAAAATATATCCACTAGAGGTAGATGTTGAGCAGCTTCCGAACAATATAAATGAGCGCCATATTACCTGTAAGTGAAATTTTTTATTATTTATCAATCCTAGTTAGGATTTGATTGTAACAAATCCTAGTTATATCGTTGTTACAAGTTTATGAGTATTTTTAAGCATTGACTGTTAAAGGATTTTCTGATGCTACATTGTAACAAATCCTATCCGAATCTATGATCATACATATAATAAGTGATTGTAACAAATCCTATGATCAAGTGCATCAGAAAAAGTAATTTCAAAAAAAATTATTAATGGTAAACGACGGATTGTTTTCACATATGGTACATAAGCCGTTTGGCAAGCTTCTCTAGGTGACTTCTGCTTAGATTTTTCATTAACATATAAATTTATTTTTTTCGACAGTATTGTATTACTTCCATGTTAGGCACCTCGAAGAAATGTAAGTGCTACATATCTAGCTTCTTTAATGATTTAAGGATGTACAGAATACGACTGTTGAGGGATAAAACAATGAACTAAATTTGACGTAAATTTTACTTTTGCTTATTCTTTAAAAGCTTAAGGGTTTTTTTTCTGAGCCTGCTAAGATCTCACTGCCTAATGTTTTTTAAATTATTGTAGCACCTCAAGAGGACAATACTGTTAATACTAGTACAACATATGCGGAAAAGATTTCAACATTTGGATCGCTGAAACATCAAATATGTTCACTGTACAGTATCTCTCCGACTGCCTTAAAAATCGTTCACAGAGGTATAATACTTTTATTGGAAACTAAACTGAATTTCTTAAGAAATTGAAATTCTTAAGAATCATGAAAATACTTTTATCAGAATCAATAAATTAGTTTTAATTAGTAGCGCTAATATTAGATTATTAGGAAAAGAATTGTATAATGCAACAATTTCATGTTTAGGACGTATTTTAATGGGTGATGATTCTACTCCGCTGTCATCTTTTAATTTTAAAGAAAATGATAAATTACTGATTCTTGGCAAACCACCGACAACAGAAACAGATGTTGGATGGAAGGTTTATTTTATATAGAATCGTTTTTATTCCACTGCAGGATCAGCGCAGTGTCGACAAGTAGTCACTAGATATTGTACACTTGGTATTAAAGTATATTGAGCTAAGCTTATTAAGATAAGCTTATATTGAGCTTATCACTTATTGCATTTCATCAATTTTTGTAATCTACAATGATGAGTGAGTCATTAAATAGCGTAAACATCTTTATTGCACTCATTAAAGTAGTAAGTTTTATACTAGTTCATAATTATCGAAACTTATCCAATTTTAAAGCTGCTGGTAGATTTCGAGCGGAAGCATGTTGCGGATGTATCTAAAACATATGCAAAGAACACAAATGATTTGACTCAGTTGGAGAAAAATTTCTTAAAAGGTTTTACAACTTGTTCGTGTTATCGCTTGATGATTTTTGGCAAATAGTTCAATATAGTGTATAATTCTGTTTTTATTTGGTTTTGATATTAGTTAATTTTCAGTTCAACTTGTACTTGACCTACTATTATCTATATTCTATTAATAAGCTCATGCAACGTCTTACAATTGTTTTTTTACGAAGTTTATTATAAAATTGAGTAGAATAAGCAATCGCATTTTTGGCTAATCGAAAAAATTTGCATGTGCCATATTTCTTTTAAAATCAAGATCTACAGATCCTGAGAGGCGAGGATATATCAAGGTAATGGATAAACGTTTGAAAGGATACGCTGAAAATTGCATGAAACTCTTGGAAACACTTGACGGCTTGCAAATCAATAATGATAATACGGATGGAGGACAAGTGATTTTTTTCTTTTGCAAACTAAAGAAATTATCAAAATAAAATGTTTAAAATAAACACATTTTATTCGAAAACATCCAACTGAGATGTTTGCAATAATTCACAATGAAGTAGGAAGTTGGTGGATGCACTGTACATGAAGTAAATATTGACGACTGAAGTCATCGGAGGAAATTCTGTTCTTGAAGCTATTGAAGTGTTTGGGTGTTCTGAGCTAGTTATCATAAGTATCTGCCGGTTGCTTTATTCTATTTGCTGTATATGCTTCATCGCGAATACAAACAATAGTTTGTAAAGCCTTTATTTTGGGTTTTACTAAGAAATGAATGATATTTTTTTGCGATGCTAAATACATTGAATTAGTTTTTTTTCTAAGCTGCATATATAATTTTCGAGTGTTCTAAACTGCCAATTTAAAGGCTCAACGAAATCGCGAGAAGCGGAAATTCTTGGTGGATGGACTACAGGATGCATTAAATAAGAATGATAAATTAATGGCACGACTAACTGATTACCTAAATCGATGCCAACATCCTGAGGATGCTTTGTAGTTGAGTATAAAGTGCTTTCATTGCAAAGTGATCTCATTTTTGAGATTTGAATCACTAGTTTCTTAATTTATGGCTTCTTATCAAGAATTCGAAATAATATTCTTAAGCTAGACTGGTTATTTACTAAGTGATGGTTGTTGTATATGAATTTTCAGACAAAAAATTATCAATTTTCTTGATTATCTTATCAGAAAGTGTGCTGAGAAGATGATTACAAGCTTTTGATTCTTTTTCTTTTATTTTTAATCTGTCAGTTAGTACCGTATAACAGTCTCTAATGTGTTAATCATCAGTTTGTAAATCAAATTTGGAATTGCTTTGTTATTGTTTTATTTTTTCTTCATTTTGATCTGTTGGAAGAATTTTTAACATTTGTTCAGCTATAGGGTGAAATCTAATATAATAACATTATTTGGTAACACTCTATTTATGCCAATTTGTAATGTGTCCAATTTCATGTGACTGACTTTTCAATTCTCGAATTGTGACATTTTCATTTCAGATTTTCAAAAGGCAGTAATAAAACACCATTGAGTTATTGTTTTATTTTTCGCTTTTCTTTTTTTATCTTTTTAGCTTCTGTCATCGTGAATTAAAGCTTTAACAACTGTGCTTGTGAGTAGTATCATATTATTTGAAATGTTGATAAACTTTGCTAAATTTAGGACTTCTTTTCGTTTGCATTGGCCATTAATCCGCAGCGTATATGCTGTTCACCGTCATCCGATTGTACTTTAAATTTTTGAAAGCTTTATAAATGGTGCAGAAATGTATGCTTCAGGAAACCACCACTGGCTTTTGTAAAAGCGTTGGTTTTATTGAATTTTCGGGACCGCTTCAGCTGTTGCATGACATTTGGACGGAAACCATCATGTCGAAGTGACACAGAGGTGACGTTAGTAATTAGTGCGTTCGGATATATTGGTGGAGCAGAGAGGGTGGGTTTGAATGGGAGTGGGAGGATTTTAAGAGAATTTTAGTACTCCTGGGCGGTGTTGCGCATATACTGAATGCTATGTTATGTATAGTAATAATGGATGAATGAATAGATTAGTAAATTCGAACCGAAGCACATACTGTTTAGGTTATGGATGAATTGGAACAACAGCGACCAAACGATACAACTGTTATTGGAATTCAGGCCATGACGGGTTTGTTTTCGGAGTATCATTTTGCAAGTTGAAAATTGTTGGAAGCAGTTCCTATTTATCATTTTTTTTGGTATTTTTAGAAAGTAATGGTACTACGGGGCCGCATGTTACGACGGTGTCTGTTACAACATACATGCCAAGCGAAGCTCTTGTACCAATGCCCGTTCTTCCACAATCGGGCGCTGTAAGTTTCTCATATTTCAACTCTTTCTTTGTTATTTTCGTCTCTTTTTTTTATTACTTTAATTTTTCTCCAAAATGTGTAATTGTGTATTAAGTAAAAAAAAGTGCGTAAATGGGATTATGTGCTTTACTAGTGATAATTTTTTATTAATATTGGACATTATTATTATGCTAGATTCGTCGAAAGCGGCAAACATGGAATAGATCGTAGTACCGGCAGTGGATGAATACTCAGTACACACTGACTGGGAAAACTTACTCTATAATTCAAGTTATGATCAGAATCGTCGTGGAATTCTGATTTTTTAAGACAAATCAGAAAATATCATGCTAGAACACAGCCTGCGATTATCATTGCGGTGGAATTACCATTTTTTTAAAGATTTATTTCGTATCCCTTTTTCAAGATCATCGTTGGACCCGGAGCTAAGAAAGAGGCTCAGCTGCTTGGTTTGGGCCTTATAAAACTGCGTAGCAAGCAGAAGGATTGGTTAGCAGACGCAAAAAAATATGCGAAAGAGCAATCAATTAAGCAAGTACTTCTCAGACAAACGCTTGCGCATCAACAGAATGTAAGTATAGCATGCTTGCTTCCATGAAATTTGAAAGGAGATTACGTAAATTATTGAATTAAAAGTATCTTGTTGTTGATCTGCATACTTCATAAAATAGCTTGACCTGAGGATAAGTATTTGGTGCTGTAAATATAAAACCTGGAATGTCCATCGGGCATACATATGAGTATCAAACTCTCGACTGACTTCGAATTTCTATATAATTTTGTGATTTTGTTATGGATTTTCATTGATCAGCTGTCGTCGTTATTATGTTATGGATTTATAAGACCGTATCGTCATTGGCACTCGGATCATCTTCCTGTTTCAGCAACAAAAAGTCGCGATGTATGCACAAGCTTTATCTCTCATGGCGCGTGTTTATATTGGCTCGATAAGTTTCGAAGTTCGCGAAGAAATGATAAAAAATGCCTTCGGTGTATTTGGTCCAATCAAATCAATTAATATGAGTTGGGATGCCGTTACAGGGGTTAGTTCGTACCGATCCACACTGTATGAACTGATGAGAAAATGTTCTATCTTTTTCTCCTGTTAAGTTATTGAGAAGGATGGATTCCATAAAATTTGATTGTAGGCTAAAATTTATGACTGTTATCGGGAGTATTGTTCAGGAAACTCTTTTAGGATTCCTTTCTGTGGACGTGCTTTTATAACCGAGAGCTACTTTATAATTAGGGATACTATGTTGCTCCAAGGAAAAAGCTGTTAACGGTGATTTTGATTTGCAGGATTAGTTTGTAGTGCTAAATTATATTGTTGTATTGCATGCTAGTATTTTAGCATCACAAAGGTTTCGCATTTTTGGAATATGAAATTCCGGAGGCAGCGCTTTTGGCGCAAGAATCGATGAACGGTGTGCTGATGGGCGGCCGTAATCTCAAGGTTAATGTTCTAGTCAGTTAATTATCTTATTATCTTTTATTGTGTTTTCTTTTGTAGTCATGGGCGAATTGTCATGGTTGTTCATTTCTTTTTCTTAATGGATTTTTCATTCGAGAATTATTCTCGTTAAAATCATATTGAGATGTCCAGGTATTAGTTATATGCTTAAAAGGGGTAGATTAGGTAGATTTCGAGTATTACACACTGATCTCAATTTTGAGGTCGGACGGCCATCAAATATGCCACAAGCTCAGCCAATTATCGAAATGGTCATGCAGGAAGCGAAAGCATATCATCGGTTAGTATACACTCTCAGATTTAGACACTTATGGACTGCTTTTTTGAAATTTAATTCGCTTGTGAGCTTTCTGAAAAAAATGTCAGCATTTTCAATGGTTTATAGTTATATATTTTAGTTTTCTAAAAGCTTTTTCACCAATTTTTTCTGATTTGTGGGTAGTTTAATGGGAGAAATATAATTTTCTTGGATCCAATGTACATAATGAAGTAGTTGTTTCGAAACATCTAACTGAAAATTAATCAAATTTTGGAAATCATCATATATACATCTTTTCATTCCAATTGACTGTTTTATGCAGGGTCTATGTTGCATCAGTTCATCCGGATCTCTCAGAATCTGATCTCAAAAGTGTATTTGAAGCATTCGGTGAGGTGACGAAATGTCAGCTAGCCAGGGCTACAGGACCGAATGCTGGAAGCGGACATAGGTAAAACTTAGCGCATGTTATTAAAGGCATTCATAATATCTGATCTTGTTGTTACACATATTGTCGCAATCATTTGACCTTTTTTCCAGTGAAATACAAATTTTTGAGATCTGACAAACATTCCTTTTACCCCGTAAGATGCAAAATCACTGAAATTTAATTGCTTATGCTTATATCATATGTTGGTGAAGATTAAGATTGTTGAAATCTAAGATTTCATACTAGTCAACAGTTGCTCAGTGTTCGCCGATAATAGTTTGATAATCAAGCATTGCTTTTTTTAATATTTTGTTCGAACAATTTGATGCGGATTCATTGAGCGAAGTGTGCGCAAAGCATTATTTTGCAGAGGTTTTGGGTACTTGGAATTCAGCAATGCTCAATCAGCAAATGAAGCCATTGCCGGGATGAATATGTTCGACCTTGGTGGACAGTATTTACGGGTTGGGAAATGTATCACACCACCGGATGCGCTAACATACATCGTTCCCACATCTGCTGTGAATCTACCAACAGCTGCAGCTGTTGCAGCTGCTGAAGTCACTGCTAAAATTCAAGCGGAAGAAATGACTGCAAAAAAGTCACCCGTTCACACTGCCAGTTCGTCTCCGGTTAGTTTAGATATAACTATAATATTTTGGTTCCATATTCGTTCATATAGCCGTGGAATTCATTGTCTACTTTGGGCGAAATAAATCTGAAATATGGTCAAATCATCTTAACTCCTGGTTTATTTTAAGGATGAAAAGTGCGTCCTCCACTTAGGCCCAAAATTATTCAATTTTCTGAATCTAGACTTGCTGAAAAATAGTCGATTGTGAGATCAAACAAAATTTGCAAAGCTTATTATTTTTACAGCTGTCAGGAGGTATTGCTGCACGTCAGGACTCACCGCAACCATATAGTATACAAGGAACTCCGCCGGTAGGTGTTGCAACAATTTCACCTGTTGGTATAGCGACTGTTCCAATGGTTGGGCTTCCAACGGTATCACCAGTAACAACAGGAAAGCCATATCCTTCATCGGTTGTTTCTCCAGCGCCTCCGCTGTCTGCTACCGTTCCAACCCAGGTAGATATTTTTTAACATGAATAAAGTTAGAGAGTTCTTATTGTGTTGTGGGAAATACCAGATAGATATGTTCCACATTGAACGGATAGAAAGAAATCGTAATAAGGGTCCTATAAAATTTGATAAATTTCGAATTTTTTAAAATTTTTGAAATTTTTGTTCGATTTGCTTTTTTGTAGATTTCAACGCCACCTCCACCTGTTGCAACACCACCACTTCCGCCAGGACCTCCACCAGGTGGCCGCCGGGGATTTGGCGGTTTTGCCACGCAGACACCACCTGTACAAGTTGTCAACATTCCACCACCACAAGTCATAACATCATTACCTGCTAGCACGATTCCAGTACCACCACCACCTGTGAGCATTGATATTAAGAATTTCAAGAAAAAGTGTTCACTATATTGGATTTTAAGTAAATTAGAGAAACTCACTGTATTATAATAGATTATTTCGCATTAGGTGTACTAGACAAGTTAATGTCTTATATTTCCGAAATAGTAAAAACTGTACAGGTTTCTTCAATACCACCATCTCCTTCAACGTTGTCGTCTACGCAATCATTAATATCGAGGATAAACATTGGTACTGCAACAAACTCTTCCGTTGAACCTGCTACATTTGCTCCTCTTCCAGCTAACATTGCTCCTGTGGATCGTAAAGCGTTAGTTTTTGAAATCACTTAAAAGTGAATTTTTTAAAATGATATATCAAATATAAGTTTGGGACAAAATTGTTGCGTTTCCTAAAGCGAAGAGATAAACGGATTACCGAAGTGAGCCAGGAAGAAAAACGCTGAAAAAAAAGGATATTGAGAAACAAGTATTAATCTCTATATGGGAGAGGAAAACGGCAGATCTCAGAAAAATATTGATAAGTTGTCAACTTAAGGGTAACTAGTGCTGATGGCATAATGGATCAACTTGCAATTGGTTATGCGTCGACAAGCGACTCTGGTAGTATGGCCTTGGTTATTTCTGATAGTTCTATACCAGGTCGACGTAGTTTGCAAAAAGTTACTGGGGCTAGTAAAGAAAAAGGATCAAAACCGGATGACAAGTCGCATAAAAAGAAAAAAAAGCCGGTATCAACTGTGCCAAAAGGACCACAGGTATGTTCGTTTTTGCTGACACATATGTCGTGTCTAGCTATTAGAATTGAATATGTGCAAATTTACTATGGAATGGGCTCTTTTTGGTTTTGACTTCGTTTTAATATTTAGTTTGCAGTAGATATTATTGCAGCTCAATACTCCTCAAGCACTAGAAGCAGCAAACCGAGCTGGTGAACTCAATGATCAGATGGCTGCACAGAATGCTAATTCAGATGATGTATCGTTGGCTGCTCAAGAAGGCTTAGAAATTAGAGGTAAGAAACTTCTTGGTCTGATTTTTCTAACAGATTTGTAGACTTAATTAGCATTTTGCTTTAAAGAACTCGGAACTTGACGTTTATGATATTCTAATCTGGTTTGTTGGTGAATGAGTTATGTCTCGGGATTATTTTAATTAGCTCGTTGTTTTCCTGGGAATATGTATGTCCATTACTTAGGAAATGATGCAAGGCATTTACTAATGCACAAACTAATGCGGACAAATCGATCAGCAGTAATAGTACTGAAAAATATGGTGACGATTGAAGAATGCGATGATGAACTGGAGAGTGAAATTCGTGATGAATGTAATAAATATGGCAAAGTGCAAGAGGTAAGGAGCACAATAAACGTGAATAGTGTGGTAGCATAGAACTGAGTAATGCGATTTAAATTTTCGGTTAGAGTTTCGTTTTTTTTTGGAAACAGTTGAATCTGTTTTTAACATCAGTATAATAATGCTTAATAAATGTACAGAAGTCGTAAATTTCTTCGCTCTCAGCAAATTATGATTTCACTTTCTCTGCTGACCGTTATTTTTTATTTCTTGGACGGGCGTGTCATTTCTCCAAAAATATTAACATTTCAAATCTTTATAGATTTTGTTGACTATAACAGTATTTTTAAGGTAGTGATAGCTCAAGATCCAGCAAGTGGTAGTGTGAAGATATTTGTACGATTTGATAACCCACAGGAAGCGGACACAGCACGTCAGGCGCTGGACAAACGATATTTTGCTGGCCGCGAAATTTCGGCTCAGAATTATGATCAGATATTGTTCGACCATAATGATTATTCAGGATAAAATTAGAATTAATTTAAAAACTATGAAAGGCGTTTGAATTTCTGCAGATTGTAGGTTTCCTGGAGATAGAAATGGCGGATCGTAGTAAAGGCTGCAAGATTAGGGGAAGCATAACATTTCAAGATGACATCAGAAATGCAATACTTGAGTAGGACGAATTATGGTTCTGATCAGTCTACTGCTTTGTTCATACATTTTTGATTGTTTGTTTGTTCATTTGTTTTCTCGCCTAATTGAAATAGTTATCAGTTAGTTTCGGCGTTCTTTGTTGATTGTCGCAACAGAAATAAAATATTTCCATATTGAGTTGTTCCTGGTTTTCTAACCGATCTTGTCGGACTCGTGTTTCAGGATGCCGTGAACAAGTAATTGAACTCTCTTTTGTTTATACATATTAAAATTTTAGACATGAAGTCTTTGCTTCGCTTCTTTTTTAGTCTTTCTGTTTTGAATTAAGTAAGCCTTATCATTCGATATTTAAGAATTAGCGTTAAGTTCTGCTTTTTTTTAGGAATTTCATGCTGCACAGCGCAAAGAGGGAACTGCTGAAAAGGTGGATAAGGGTGTTGCTTTTTTGATAAAATGTTTCTGCAAATTATAATAGACCCAACTGTTGTACATTCATCACTGCAAGCAATTTCCCATTCGACATTTTAACCCTTTCACATACCTTCAGTTTATTATTTTAACCGAACTGTTGTAAACCACCACTTCAATCTCCCACTCATCATTTTAGACTTCCCATATATCTTCATTTTATAATAATGATAGCAATTATTATTATTAATAATTATTATTATTTATTGTTAATTATTATCAGTATTCATATTTTTAATAATTATTAATTACTCTCGAGTTAATTATTATTGACTATTATTAATTTATTAATTGTTAATTATTATTTTTTATCATTATTATTATTATTTGTTCATTATTTATCTGTTATTTATTTACCTATTTATTGTTATTACGAATTTATTTATTATTTATTGCTGTTTTTTCATTGCAATTCCTCATCATTAATAATTGATTTTATATAATTCTGATCTCCAAGTTATACTTCGTTTTTGTTATCCCTTTTTTCCCCATCAATCTAAAATCAGATCGAAAATCCGGTTGTTGGAATGATCTAATGTTATTCAAGCAATTACTGCTGGGAAACATTAGAAATGACGAAGTTAACGATGATTTCATTGATTTTCATTGCAATTCCTCATTATTAATAATGAGGGTATGATAACAAAAAAAACAGTAAAGAAATAACGAAGTTAACGATGTATGTTTGATATTGATTCATCTTGTTTTATCTCTTCTCGTTGTTATCGTAAATGGTCTTTAAATTACTGTTTTTGCATGGAAAAAAATGTTCAGCAGATAGTTGGCGACGAATGTGGTAGTTTATATATATATATATATACATATATGTAAACTCCGAAAACACTGTTTTCGTTAGTGGTAACTATTTTCCAGGAGTAAGAAAATTGTGATGGTAATATTACAGTGTAATAACTAGGATTAAACTTGGAATACAGAGTAGATTTGGAAGAATATGAAAATTGTGCTTTTGATCGACTGGCAGTACTATTCGAAAAAAGTTATATAATTTAAGAATTCTCAATGGATTGAAATTCCGTTACCTTCTTGCGCATTGAATTTCCGATTTATTTTCCTTTTTCTGCATTGCTATAATCGGATATATAACAATAACTGTTGAAGGGATTATTTGAATCATGGCAACCGTAGTCCGGGGATGTGTATTTTGCAATATTATTCATGGCCAATGTGACAAACATTTGAAAGCGTCGGATAATGTTAGTAATCAAACACTTGGAAGCGTTCGATAGTGCTAGTGATCAATTCGGATTTTCACGTTGCAGACTAACTGCTGAAATGAAATATTTGTACATTATGAGTTTATTTGTATAATTCTTTAATTGCTTAATGCAAATCATTTCAAAACAATAAAGCGTTACATACAGATAGGTGGCTCTATGTAAACCTTTTATATAGAACATTTGGCGTTGCCTCCCAAGGACGGAATTAATGACCAAATTTGACGTTTTATACATTTATTGGATAAGGTGTCGGCAAGCTTTTCCTGATATAATTTTAAATTTGTATTGCTTCATCAAAATTATATTTCATTTTAATTATATTCTGCACAATAAATTTGTTATAAAGTGTATAAACTTGAACAGATACTTTTCAATTATTTATTTATCATTGCAAAATATGTGTCGTTTACTTTCGGATGCGAAAAATTTAAGGCGGTGGTCATTCAAGATAGATCACCACATGCACCACATCATTATCTAATACTCAGCAAACTGCATATCAATCAAGCAAGTGATTTGACAGTTGTCGATCTCCCTCTCGGTGAGGTGTTTCTGTACTTGAGGCTTTTAACATCACATGTTAATTTCAGTTGGAACCACATACCAATTTAAAATTTAGAGGCTGTGATATAACTTCGAAAAGTTGTGTGCTAATCAGATATTATCTTTCTCATATTTCTTACCGTATTTCAGTAGAAGAAATGGATCGTCTTGGACGGGATTATCTGCGCGAAACGTTGAAGGAAAGGGGTGAAGCTGATACTGTGGAAGGTTGGCTACGAATGGGCTTCCACTGGTCAATATTTATTAGTGTACGCCATCTTCATATGCATCTATTGTATCCGACGCGAGAGGTATATTAAAATTCGACTTCGTATATATAAATGAGATGATAGATAAGCATGGAACAGTACTTTCAGTATGCGCATTTTCATGTGGATCCATTTACTTCGTGTCAAATTGTTTTGGAGGGTTTAAAATTTCGTTAGTTGCAGATGAATTTTTTATATCGAGCAATAGTATTTCAATCGGGACCATTTTTCCGTATAACAAAAAATATTATCGAAAATCTGGAAAAGAAGAGAAATGCTGATGGCCGTACGGATCCAAAGAAAGAGGTAAGGAGCAATCTTACTGCAATCGGTCCAAGTGATTCACCGTGAAAAATGTACAACATGCAACGCAATCCTTATCTCATCTCATGTAATCTAATCGAAAGTTTGCAGCTAGGGATTTCTGATAATATTTTCGGGTGATGATTCAAAGTAACAGAACTTTAATGTTAGGTAGCTGCTCATTCAGGTCGGTTTTCTCATATCTACTTTCCTTCTTTGCATCTTTTTCTTTAAACTTTGCCATTTTATCCTATACATGCATTATCGCTTTTTCGGACTCTGATAAACTGTATAAAATATTCATAATTCGATATTGGATATGGTATCGGTAATAGATAATATATAGGATATGGTATCTTTTCTAGCATCCTTTATTTGATTTTCCTCAACTTATACCTTATTATAATAGTACGAATATAAATCTAATCAATTTTCCCTTCTCGTAGCTGTCAATTACCGAGTTGTAATATACTATATATAAAAGTGTGAACTTTACACATACTTATCTCTTACATAACATATATCCCAATGCAAGTGCAAATTCCATTTTTGGGTCGTAAATCTGTATATTGTACATTTGAGGATGCTTCGCTTTATTTTTCCTAAAGTTAAGTTCTGTATTTCATTGCCTCCTTTGTTGTGATCTTATCTATCTCAGTAGAAAGGAAAAAACTAGTTTTCATATTTTTATATTTTCATTGATCAAAATATAAAATCTTACAACGCATATCACTCTTGTATTTTAGTTCGTTTGAGTTTTGAATCTCCATCCATCATTTTGCAAAAGTGCTGTGATTTGATGAGTTAAAATTAATGTAAATTTAATCAAATCAGAATAATTTTCATGATACTTTTGTAATTTTAAGGGATAGGAGAAGTGACTTTGAGATTGAGATAAAATATAACAGGTTCCCGATAAAATACAAAACTATCATGAAGATCTACCATTCCAATCCTTTACATGCAAGTCTTCGAAATTAACTTCTCCTTGGAAAAATTTCTTGTTTTATCCTCCTAGTCCACGCTACCTTGAAACTGAATACTCAGCTTTTTCACAAATTCATTTACAAATTGTATTTGTAGTAGTAGAAACAATTTTTTAAGTCATTATTATATTTGCAAAATAATTTGTTGTCCTCGTCATTACATCTTTTAAATTGATAAACAAATTTTAAATGAATTAAAATAAATTTTATTCATTTTATACGCATTCTTTACGGAGCAGGATATTCATACATTAGTTATATCATTCAATTTATCTCTTCCGAACTACCAAAAGCTGCTTGAGAATCGATTTCCTGAAGTAAAAATTACAAACAATACGAAAATTTGAGGTCGATTTCATGGGTTCCATACGTACACTTCAATTCCTGGTCTGCCATCTGAACTTTGAGCAGATTAACACTTGCGCCTATTAAGCAAAGTGCTAATTAGTAAGTAGGAACTATTTGCTTAAATGTTCTGGAACCAGAAATGTCAAACCATAAATGTTGACAATTTTTTGTCTTGTTCAGCAGCTGTGTTTCCATCGACACCTTCGATTGTCAGCAGTCGACTCAAACGTTTTGTTGGATTCATCCTGAAAAGTTTTTTTTTATAATTGTTCACTTTCCCATTTCCTGCATTAATTTAATCACTTTGATGTCATTTACTGTGCTTTGAATGGCTCATTTGGCTAACTTAAAGCAAAACAAAAACTGAAAATTACCCTCCTACAGCCCATCCGGAACAAAATCTGTCCAAAATTTGGCTTCTTGTTTGTTCCATCAATTTCTTGAAATTTGCATGATTGATCATTGGAAGCGCAAAATGCCGGCAACTGAATCAAATAGTTAAAAGTAAATTGTATGTTAAAATTTTTATGTCAAAATTTTTGAAAATTGTTTTAGTATGAAAATCTATGCGATTTTTTTTTTAACCCAGACTTTTAATGAAAAATTTTTTTGGATGACTTTATTTTATATTATTTCATTTAATAAGACAGCGGCTATTAGCAGTTTATTCGAAATCATACCTGTTTTCTATTCGATGTAAATTTCGGCGAAAAAGATTTTCCAGGCTATATTTTTCGGCTAATTCAAAAGATTCTATGAATCGTTCTGGTGAAACTGGTGGTTCTTGAATTAAATACTACAAAAGAATATGAAAAGCTTAAACTTGTTTAAAATCAGTGCCAGTATTCGATGAGCTGCAACCAAAAATGACATCAGCGAGGATGCACCGTTATTTTCCTTATTTATCGTTAGATGAGATTTCAAATGTTAATAAATCCTTTACTTTATTAAAGTATGTAAATTTTGCAATTCTACATCTCACTATCCACTGTTACCCAGAGAACACAGACAAACTTTTGATCCAATCTTTTGCTATAATTAGTTAAAATCCTATATCTAATCAGATTATACTAACGCCTTCAATTGAATTCATAGCGTTCTCCATGTGATAAGCGTTGCAGAATATAAGCAATGGCCGTAGCAAAACGCTTTCGATAGGTTTGTTCGGAGGATGAATATGCTGCAGAAGGGCCTGCATTTGATTAATAATTTAAAATTGGAAATCTACGAATTTTCATGATTGCCTTCCTTCCAATTTCTAATATCTCTCTTCTTTTTCCTTATTTTCTATCAAAATTTTGCAGAAATTATCAATTTTTGTGTATTTATTTATTATTTCCCAGGTGAATAATACACTTTTTGTATTAATCAATCAAATTTCAACGAAATATAATTTGAATATTCCTTTAGCTAGTATTTTATTTAAACAATTTATAATTTTAATATTGAAATATATTTTTAATATTGTTCATGCAATTTTGCTAATTTTTCAACAATCATTTCTTTCCTTCAACTATTTTTGTTTAATGATAGATCCCCATCATTATCTAAATCATATTGGTTAATTTACTTCAATAATATATAACGGAGGTTTATTTATTTTCACGCATTCTTCAGCTAATTCACAACTCACTTGCGCTATCATATGGCCTGTAAAATTTTAAAAATGAAACAATTTCAGTTTGAAATATCACATGGTTAAATAAATGAAAGATGTTTAACAATTCAAAATATTTGCTCTCTGAAATCTCAAAATAACATTTTGTTGAAATAGCATTAAATATAGTGTGAAATTAGCTTTCTGATATTTACCTTCATTACTTCGACCAAACATTGTATCATTGTTTATTTTCATGATACCTCTATTTACATATAGTTTAATGCCATTAACTATCAACACAACTGTATCATTATCATTATCATTCTTGGGTGGAATACGAAAATTAATCTCTTTGAAGAATTGATCTCGTATTGGTGTTCCTAGTGGTAATGATTTAGCCTGGTAAATAAATTTCATTTAATTGCACGGGAATTATTTCATGTATCTATTGAAATCACGTATAATACTATTACCTACTACTAGATAACATATAGTCATATATTACTATAATGATATAGAATCCTTTCATATTCCTGCGACTTTTAATTAATCAAAATTTGTGACAACAACAATGTTGGTACTATCACTAGGGTTAAAAAAATGTTTCCTAAAAAATTTTGTTCTTTTTTAATTTTTTATTTTTCTCTTTTTATGGCTTTTACTTTAACGTATTAAAGAAAAAACTAATTTAACATATTAAATTATCAAATCAGAAAAGAATTTTCGAATTAAAAAAAATCAGAGAGAGGTTTATAAAGATTTACAATTTCTGCATAATTTTTAATTCCAACAATGTACAAATTAACTAACCTTAGCAATTGCAGGCAAAATAATGCTATTATATATGGCATCACCATATTCTAATTCTGGATTTAATCCATTACGGATAATATCTACCCAATATCCATCTTGTTCAGCTTTATAAACTAATTCTTCGATAGCATTTGGCAGTTCAAGTTTGATTGCTTCTGCTATTTTCTGCTCCATATACATCTGACTTTGTATAATTACCAAAAATACTACGATAGAAAAAATTATGATGTTCAAAATTAATCAAAAAATTAGACAGTGTTAAAATTAGAATATTTTTTAGCAAATAAAATTCCAATATATTATTTTATAGTTTAAACTTGAAAGCTTAAAATGAATTCTTTGAGTTTTAGTTTCATTTCACCTTAATCAAAAAATATGACAAAACACAGCTTAAACTTACAGATTCATAGTTTACTATGTAGGAAGTAATTCGATCTATGATACCATCCGCTTGGAAACCGACCGCTGCTCGAGTTAAACCCTTTAAATTGGCCCATATTGGTCTTTTAGTTGGATAAATCTGAAATTATTACAACAAATTACTTACTGCTTGTTGTTTATATGAAAAAAAATTAAAACCCGAATGTTGGAAATTAATGACCAATGCCGAAAAAATTTCGACGTTAAATGATTTTTTAGCTACTTCTTCGTCTGATGCAAGCATTAACGATAAATTTATTTTTTATTTTTATCTCACTTGAGCTTTAACCTTATTTTAAACTATCTTCAAATTTTGATATTTTTTCATGATTTAGTTGGTTGCAAAATTTGAGCAAAAGTCAAATTTAGAAGACCTGATATAACAATTCTTTGAAATCATTTGCATCACTTTCACCCATATCAACCACATCACCTTCTTCCGCAAACTTCAATTTGCCAGCTGTAATTCAATTACTTATGCAAATATACATTGTTCTGATGGAAATATAATTTGCATCCTATGACTAATTTTACTTTTTCTCATATTTGAAGAATTCAATGAAAATCTGTGGGCTACATAATTTGCAATGCAATTAATTTAGAATTGAAGTAATTAAGTTAAAATTTTTCTCAGATTAATGTAATTAAATGAAATAACAAATTAAATGAGAATAAAATAATTAAATCCCAAATTGATATAACTAAAGTAATTATGATCTTAAAATTCAAATTGAGTCCAAATTAAAGTCCAAATTGAATTAAAATCCAGATTGCTACTGCCTGTGGACGTACCAATTTGTGAATAAAATGATAGTTCGTCAAGAAAAAAAGAAAAAAGTTGACTTTCAATGATTCTAATTAAATTTAATTAATAATTAGGTATGCAATTTTGAGATATTTTGCGCCTTTGTATTTAATATTTAAGATATTGTATTAATGAGGCTTTCTTCGACAGACGAAGCAGGAAATCTTCTTTTTAAAATCTTAAAGTATTAGCTTTTAAATGATTCCTTAAATTTCATCATAGATAACAGGAACAGAAAGTTCCACTATTGCTAAATGATGAATGAAATTCATACCCATATAATTTGAGTGCAAACTAAGTAATGCTTTATATACATGTAAAATTTCATCTTTGAATTTTAATGTAATATCGCCATACTCGAATGTTGGCAAGAAATTATGAATCTGTAAAACATCCTTAGCGTTTTCTCTTTTTTTTACTTTAAACAAAAAATAAAATTTTAAAAATACTGAAAGAAAAAGAATATTGAAAAATGTTCAAATCGCAATTCGGTTTCACCTTGTTATTATAGAAATCAATTTCAATGATGGAAAAATGACAATTTCTTCTCTTATCCTCCACACTTCTCTTATTTAATGCTACAATAGCCAAAGTTAAATAAATAAATTGAACATACCATTTCGACGAATTTCATCTCAATACGTACACGTCGGATATTTTCATCGCCAATTCGAAGAACAATTGGTGGATATCGTTTTCCAAGCTCAAATAAATCACCATCTACTACACGATCCGTATCCGATTCACATGTTCCAACGCGGAATCGCATTTGCACTACATATTTCCATTCCAGATTTGGAAATTTTGCATCTCCTGTTATATTTACGCTTTTCTTTTCTTGCTGAAATTTATTGAATTAATTTGATAAAGTTAAATAAAGTAATATGAAGAAAAGTTGTCCTTCAGCAAACTTCAGTAAATTTAATCATTTTTATTTTATTTAATTTTATCTGATTTTTTATTTTCTCAGCTTCACTTACCTAATTTGAATTATTTGAAAATTTGATTAGTGAATGAAAAACATTGAGTAATATTTCAGTTAAATATAATTGTTAAAGTTTTTGCCAAAATGGTATACTGGTCTAACCTCTGTAGATATAACTATATAAACCACTGGTAAGTGAAATCGAAGAGCACCGCCAGCAGCAAATTCACCGGGAAGAATACCAATTCCAGCAACCGATACTGAGAACATAATCTTATAATCGATAGCTGGTAGAGATATAAAATCAATAAATTCTTCCGTACAGGTAGCTACTGACTAAAATTTAAAATAATTAGTATAAAATTATGAAAAAAATCCTATCGTTGAAAGAAAGAACGACTAAAGTTGTTCATTTCATACTAATATTTAAAAGTTTTCAAATTTATTTCATCTCTCGAGACATGAATTTTAGTACCGATTTTGGATGGCATTAACTGAAATCAGTAATTAAAATGAAATAAGTTTTAAGCACCAATGCTGCTAATAATGAGTCATCGGAATTTGTTGATGCCATCGGGCTTTTTGCAACCACTTCTCTCGCATGCAATTGCGTGACAATACATCTTGCATGAATTCCGTTATTTTATATAAAAATTGCAGAATAATGAGAATAAAAAATGCATTGAATATCATATTATTACACCTGCAGCTGCAATTTGCAATTTGGATTAATATATGTTTATACTTTAGCCAAAAAACGAAAATTTTCAGAATTAAAGATGCTAAAATAAACGGTAAGAAATATATCATATATCTTCGTGAAATATGTTTGAAGGAAATAATCATCTCCTCTTTATGATTAAAAGTACCTTCAACAACATTAGGCTACTTTCAACAAAATTTAAAGAAATACGGTATTGGTATATTACATTGCATTGATTTTTCATTAATTTCATAAATTCAAAATTTTGCTTGAATTAATCTAAATGATCACTATGACAGCACCGTTCAACACATGACGTATCTGTGAACATCTGTAAATAAAATGGGTTCATTATCGTATTATCATCGAATTGTCATAAATACTTAAAACAATTCTTTTCTATCAAAATCTGCAAGTCATTTAATAAAGAAATATTCGAATTATTTTTACAATAAAAGAAATTTTTCAGTAATAATTTTTTACAAATAAAAAGAAAATTTGAAACTCTCAATTTTTCAGCTGTAATAAAACGTAAAATATCTTCCTTTGTCCTTTCTTTGGATAAATTTCGATATATACTAAGTAAATTGATGACAGCTGACTTCCACTCCTTTCTATCCTTCATTAATATTCTTAATTTAATAGCAGGCCGCATTAAGTTTTGATCGATGTGATTAGAGGCAAGCAGCTCGGTTGGTGGTTTGTTTCCTTGTAAGTAATTTGTTTTAAGCAAAATATCATTTTAGTTAATTCACTTAATTGTATATTTTCATTATAAGGAAAAAGTCGAAGATAATATATCTATAAAGCAAGGTCCTAATATTGTATTGTACTAGACTATTAAATTATTCGTGTCAAATACACCATATAAAATAAGATAATCTAATAGATTACATTCGATAAATTACGTGATATAACTAATATTTGATAAATTAATTACATCAAATAAATCACATCTAATGGATTTCATGAAATACGTTATAGTTCATTTAGAGTGAGTGTGTTTTTATGCTGGAAAGGTGATGACATCAGGACCATACTTTTCACCGACGGGACGGCCAATATCACGGCAAAGTACTGAAAGGGAGCGTGTAAAAAATGTTTTACAGGTGATCAACTAATAAATTGTAGGTTCAATGAAATACCGGTTTTAACATTAGGATTCCTTCTGATTAACAAAAGATGAAAATGCGCTGCTAGCATAAAGAACTGTGTTTATTTTATCAACTTCATTGTGACGATGGCTGTGGTTAGCTTAATTAAGCTTTGGGGTCAGCTTAATCAATCTTTTAAAATGTTACGAATATTATATATCTTCACACTGGCAAAACCTCAGATTGCAGCTTAAGGTAATGCTGTTTTGGCATGTTAGAACCAAATCGCCAAATAATCTATCGGGATGACAGCTTTGTAACGAGAGAATTTAACTGTTGTGATTAGTAAAATTCATGACAAAGATTCTATTCCTGAAATTTATTTGTAATGTGATATTAAAATTATTCATAGTTTCCAGGAGAGTTTTCGAAGAGCTCTAAGGGTGAAAAGTTGTGCCGACTTATGTGACATCACGCGACGTCTTAAGCAACTGTATTTTGATGTAAAATTTCACTTTTTAATGAGTTTAAATTGAAGTTGCATCCTCAATTTTTTATCCGGTCAAAAATATTGCTTAATATCCCCTTGATTCGACGTTATACATTTTCAGAATGTACTTTGTTTCATGCGTTATTTTTTCAAGCACCGAAGTTCCTTTCATAATCACCAAAGAGAATACCACTGGAAAGTGGATCCGATATGAGAGACATGAAAAAAATCGGAACAAATCCTCCTTTTTTCAGGCATTAAATGTACCTGGTGGCATTGAACGTTATTTGGCTGCTTTACGTTTCGCACTAGAACTTACTTGTGAAAAAAGTAACGAGAAAGAAGGACGTATTAACTGCCTGAAAATGTCTGCTCACGTTGCACTGGCACTGTCGCAAGAAGGCATGCATGAACCGCTTCAGCTATTGGTTGATTTCTGCATGGATGTAAGTCCCTATTCATTTTCGGACATACTTTTTTGTACGCAAAACCTTCAGTGCTTGTTCATCGAGTTTATCCCCATCGGTGGGATTATTCCAACCACATGTTACATGTAGTCTTACGTGTATCTTTGATTTATATGTGAATTAGGCTGCCCACATACTTCAGCTTCGCACTTTATATGTATTTTTTGCAGTGCTACGTAACTTTGCAATTTGGAATATTTAAAGAATTTGCAACTTTGTCGAATCCATCTCTCTCAAGTGGAAGTGTTTTTTTAGGAAACATGAAAGTGTTTTGTTTATTGGTTTTTTCAGATGAATGATCTGTGCATGGCTGCTACTAGGAGCTATGTATGTGCATTGGTTGGTTTATTATTAAATTTAAATAAGCTTATCGCAAATCGTTTACGTCAACAGAATCCGCAGAAAACTGACTGCTCACCGCTATCGAAAGAGCTGAACAAAACATTATATGCTATACTGTCAAAGCGTCTTTTGGATGTTGTAAGTTTTTTCTTCTTTAGCTCTTTACTCTTCAAGATTCTCAGGAATTCTGCGATATTTATATGTATGGAGTCATTTGGTTCTGGTTAAGGTCATGTCAGATCAAGATATTTTTTTGATTTGGGGTTGTTTTATTATTCTAACTCACTCTTAAATTAATGGATATTAACAACTTTCGTTTTATCTGACATAACAACTTAAAGTTAGACGGAACACTTATCATCTTATCTAGTTTCTGTTGCTTCAGAATCCTTTGGTTCGTTCCGAAGCTTTGAAAGCAATAGCTGCATTGCAAGATGATCAATCAAAAGCTGATGGTTACCGGACAAATTCTCCGAAACGTTGTAAGTTTCGTTTTGGTTTGAAGTATTGCATTTTCATACGTAAATATCATATTTTGAGTGACTTTATATCCGACATTTCTATCTTAGACTTGTTTTAGCGCCATACGCCTGTTTTAGAGGCACCATTTTTCAATCAAAAGAAATCAAACTTGGCAAATTAAAATGGGCAACGCGATATTTTCTCCATTTAATTAAGTTTAATGAATATATATATATATATTTCGTCCTTCTTTGATAGCTAATGATTTTATCTTTATATACTAATAGTTTTATGTTCATGTCTTTCATGAGATTTATTTATTTTATATCATACGGTTTCAGTATTAATTTCGCATTTGAATGATGTGTCGTGTGAATGTCGAATTATTACCTTAAAGAAATTGATGCTATCTTCGAAGGAAGAGGTCGATCTTGTGGTTTGTTTTTTTTTTTCATTTTAAACGCCATTTTACATGAGGAAATTATAAATTGATTTGGGAAGCCAATATGACTAGTTTCTGGTAACAGACGTTCTGGATCTATTTAGATTTTTATGATTATACTTTGCAATAATAGAGAATGCTGTGTTTTTGATATTTTTTGAATGATGTTTTTTGAGATCTTTTGAGGTTCAAAATCCATTCTTATATTTTATTTTTGCTGTAATATTTTACCGGGATGCTATGAAGTCTTTTAAGCTTATAAGCTTTTAAGCTTTGTATAGTCACTGTATTGCTAGCACAAAAATAAATCACAAGAAACTGACATTTTCTTATACGGTCTATCTGTACAGAAACGATATTCTCAGGTGAACATGGCACTGAGTGATTCGGAAGAAAGAGTAAGGCGAGCAGCAACAGTTCGAATTATCAAAGATGTCGATCTGAAAGCTTTATCTATCAAACAGCGTATGGATTTAGTGCAGGGCGTTATGAATATGAGTGGTAAATGCTTTCAGTGACTTCATGAAGGAAGAAAATAGCAAAAAAATTGCAGAAATTAAAAACTTGATTTCTTTATCCTTGAGGGCCAAATTATATGGCGAGAGTTGTTTTAGCTGGAAATTTGGAACTGTCATGAGATATTTTCTGTGTAATATGAGGAAAAATAGGCTAAATAATTTTTTTTGCATTGTGCTTGCAAAACTGTTCTAGCTCGAGGTCAGAATCATACTGTGATTTTAAACGATTTATTCGGAGAATGGCTGAAAACAGCTTGTGGAGCAGATACATTACCGGAAAACGCTGAAGAGCTCTCTTCATTTTACTGCATTGCATCATCTCATTTACTGCGTTTTCTAGAACCATTAACACAGGAACAGGTACTAATTTCCAATGTTACAGAGCTTTATATTTTTGAATGTGTAACTTTTCCCTAAAAATTTCAGTTTAATAAAAATCATAGATTATTCACTTCTGTTTTCAGGTAAGTCATGATTTAATGGTTCATTCACTTCAATACTGCCGTGAAAAAATGGGTTTTGGCTCAATCGGCGTGCAGGATTTCGTGAAAGCACTAAACCGCAGTGCGGAAGATATATCTCTTCATCGACATAATTGCAATAAATTGATCGAAGAGGGGTATCTAACAATCTTTATAATGGAGTTTAAAAGTTAATATAAGAGTATACAGCTCATGTTTGCAAATTAAATAGAAAAATGAAGCCTGATATACAAAACTGATATACACAAATAGAGATAAATTAATTAGAGATAATTAATTTCGGTAATTCTTCCAGTCCTGTTCTATTGAATCTATTGTTTAGTAAAACTCAAATCAACGCATTATCAGGCCAAGCTTTCGCAATAATTTTGAGGCAACTTGAGTCTGGAATAGCTTGTTTTTTCAGTAATAATTTGTTTTTTTTTAATTCTCTCTTTTATTTTAACTTGATGAGTGTCTCAAAGATTTAATTTTGGCTATGATATTTTAAAGATTTTGTTATATAGTTGGACGGCTCTTGAGCAAGCAAATGCTGTATTTTACTGGCGCTGCTTGTTGGATTTCTGTAAAGCAA